AACCAAAGTTTCTGCTCAAACTCCACTCATCCTAAAAAAGTTGCCGGGCCTGCATATAATAAAGAACAATCTAGTATTAGTATACCTTTGGTTCTCGGCCCAGAGGTCGCACGGCAGCTACTACCTTGTAGTACGTAGTTGTAGTTGTGGCTTGCTCGGGCAGCTCTCGGGTGAGCTATGCATGTCCACTCAGCACCCTTTGAGCAGGGATCTCTGATGCTTCGAGGTGCCCAACGAAGGGCTTCAACTCTGAAGGATCAGCTTTGGGCTTTGGGACAAAGCCATGCAAGACGCAGTAAGCCGTCACCTTCGGCTAGCCAATGGGCATCGCGGCGAGTGAAGCCGGTTCCTGGCGGCGTCTGTTCAGCTTGCTCCGAGCTTGCCGTTAATCAAGACTCGAGCTCGGCATCCAGAGTCCTCGTATTGATGCCTTAGTGACATGCATGTAATACAAGCTCAGGAACGCCTTCGACTGCTAAAGATCATCCCCATCCTTCGGCTGAGGGGTAATAATAAACAGCTAAAGAGCTCCAAGGCCCCCGAGCTGACGAAGCTCATGCTTGTCCGCCCTACGAAGGGCGCGGCATTTTCACTTCCTTGCGTACCTTGCATTAGATCGGCCTCCGGGGAGGGCTGGGCAGCGCTGCCATTTGTCGAGCCCGGACTGAGGTCTGCATGGCCTTCCCGAGCCCAACAAAAGCTTGAGTAGAGAGTGTCGATGCTTGGCTTCTCTGTTGACGGGATAGACTACTAAGATGGGGCTAGCTGAGGCTCAGGGAGGGGGACATGGTTTGATTTGAGGATCAAGAGGCTGGGGACAGACGGGAATAGAGTCGAGATGCCTGTTGCGAATCAAGCACTGAAGTTTCGGAGGGCATTGGAGCAGAAGAGATGGTAGGGAGAGGAGACGAGGAGGATCACGGGGCAAAAAGACAAAAAGAGGAAAAAAAGAGAACCGACACCTGCAGGATTCGAACCTGCGCGTGCGAACACAATGCCTATGATACCAATTGATAGCAGGGCATCGCCTTAACCACTCGGCCAAAGTGTCTACGGTTGAGAAGAGACTGCGGTAGTCAGTCTCATATGGCGTGCGCAGAGCGGTGCTCCATCCTCAATCAATCGATGAGGACTGAGTTCGAAGAGAGGGATTGGCATGGGTTGAGCCTGTAGCCGTGCATTGGAGAGACTCGGATTGCCTAACCTGTAATAATCACCCTTGATGCAATCGGTGTGTGCAGACAAAGAGCAGACAGCTGGACATTGCATCTCTCGGCTTGTGGCTTGGAGCCTTAGTCACAAGCCATTGCTCGAGCCGAGGGAGACGCAATTGTACGCAGTGAGGCTTGACAACAATGGCTCTCTTCGTTTGCCTTTTAACAAACGCTTTGACATCAATGATACTGACAAGTGCAGAGTTTTCTTTTTTTTTTTTTTTTGTTTTCTCTCGATCCAGCGTCTTTCCTTCAATGACACGGAATCGAACGCTAACAGATGCCAGAACTTGCTCCACTGTGGCTCTCATAGGAAAATTCAGAGGAACAAGAGAGACGCCGTTGATGGAATTATAGTTGTTCCGTGAGAGTAGTGGTCCGTTAAGTCGTGAAAGGCTCCGTTTTTCAAGCACTAAAGCGTCTTGTCAACGGCGTTCGTCTTGAACGCTTCCACGGCTCACGGAGCTCCATCACCGGGCCGGACCAAAACTGCACAGTTCGACCGTATATTACTACTACCTTGACTAGTATTCCCACCAACAAGTGGGTTTAAAACGGAGCCTCAACTGTTCACGCCGTCACGATGAGTGAATCAAGTGAATCAGTCAGTCCATCGATGGCCATCGGAAGCATTCCGTCAACCGGAAAACTGGGCTCCAAACCCACCGTTATCGCATCATCCCGAACAGACGTTCTTGTCCGTCTCTCTCCACCTCACCTGTGCTAGCGGCTGCCTATTAATATCCATCCCACTGATGAGATGGACTTTGGCTTCCCTTCCTCTCGTCCGCTGGTTGGCTGGTTGCTCGAGCCGCGGGCTTGTATGCACTGTACCAGGCATTGTTGTCACTACTTGAACCGAAAAGTCACCACCAGGCTCCATGCTAGAGCCCGGCCCAGCTAGACGAGCGATGCTGCTGCTGCTGCTGCTGCTGCTGCTGCTGCTGCTGGTGGTGGGCGGATCAAAGACCCCTCGTCACAGCATCTGCGCTGGCACTCGGATGCTGGTCAACAGGCCAATCCGACGCCTGCCGAGTGGCCGTGCCCTGCTCTCAATGGCCGAGTGTCCTCCTCAGCAAATGCACGCGTGTAAGCGAGGAGAAGACGACGACCAAAAGCGTCCTCACCGCTGGACATGGACATGAAGCTGCTGCGTGTATCACTGGATGGAATGTAGGTACTCCTCGCAACATCATTCGCTGTTACATCCAGACATCCAACTGTATCAAAGGGCCGCCTTTTCTGGCCCTCTCTCGCCTCTTTTCTCTTCTCTCGCTGCCGCGACGTGTGGCGAGCTGTAATTCGCCGTCTCTGGCCCCACGACTCTCCGGCCAATTCTGGTCCTTTTCTTGTCCCCCAATTCGGATCCTCCCAGGCCTTCGTGCAGATGTACATACACACAGGACAGTACTACTTTTACCTACACTTGTCACAAACCGGGCATCCCGTGCTAGTAGTAATGAAAAATCTCTGCAGCAAGCGTCCCATTGCATCGGCGCGTTGCATGTGTGCGTCTTTCATAGGGCGAAACCATCAAGGCTGTGGATTGTCGGAAGCCCTCCCGCTTTGTCCTTTGTCGTTCTCTCCGCTACTATATCTTACTACATAGTACTAGTTCTTGCTGCTCTGTTGCTCTTCTACGCGGGGTCTCGTCAGCGAGAGTCGCCTGTGCTTCATGCCGCCAGCCTACATATAGCACTGTGGTGGTGTGCTACCAATGTGCCAATGCTCGGGCTCACAAGCCGTTTCCAAGCACGGGCGACATTGTATTATACTACCTACGCATGCATGAAATCGTTTCATATCAACTGCGCGGATAATCATGTCCCAACTCATCAGACAAGCTGCGAGAGCTGCTGGGAAACCATACATGTGAACAAGAGGCCATCCCGAAGTCGCTGCTGCAATGGGGCTTCCCAAGGCCGCCACGAGAGGACCAACTGATACCTGTGCCCGTATCAGCTTGAGCTGCCTCACGTCCTACCCATTCGTCTGGCTTGGTCCAATCGGAGACTCGTATGCCTGTGCTACAGTGACCGGGAAGGATCGGCGATGCTGCTCTGTAGGTAGGTTGATAGTGACCAGAGTCAATGACTGACCTGCTACTACGTGATGCTGAATGCTCGCATATGATGTCCAATGCCTTGATTAACACACCCACACACGGCTTGAAAAAGTGGTGGGCTTGGTGGGCTACAGTACAAGTACATACGCCAGCTGTACTAGTAGCTCAGGCTTGTTGAAGAGATTTTCCCTCCGCTATAAGACTGGTTCTGCTAGTCGGAGGGGATGACGACACCATTACTATTCTGCGCAAAGGAAACCGGAGAGAGAGAAAGAGAAGAAAAGAGGGCTCGGACAATTTTCTCTTGTCACGGCGATTGGTCTCATGCCGTCCCCCCACATGGACACGATAGAGCTGAAGCTGCCAGCGGGGGAGGTTTGAGATGCTACCATGGGAAAAGAGATTGAGAGTATGCTTTTTGAAGTCGTATCACGAATATGATAAGGTAAGGCGAAGAGTAGAAGCAAAAGAGACGATTTTGGCAAGATTGGAAGAAACAGAGGAGAGAGAGAAAAGAAAAAAAAATTCCAAAAACAGAGGGGAGACAAGATGGCAGATGGAGCCCGATCTTGGAAATTGTCGAAAGGGACAAAAAGATAATGCTTGACCGAGACAGGGGTCGAACCTGCAACCTCCTGATGTACTTAATCGTAGTCAGACGCTCTGCCATTGAGCCACACGGCCATTTGATTATGCATAGGACTTCCGCAAAGTGCTACATACAGTTTGTGCACAAGCTCCTCCAGGTCGTTTGCAACTCTCGTCGTCGAGACTGGACATCTATAGCACGTTCTTCCAAGTCACTCATGTGTCATTGGCTTGAAAGGGTCTATTCAAAGTGATTGAGCGGCTCTCAATGTCTGTTGTGTTCAACTGATATGGCCCTCGGTCTGTTGACTTGCTTTCGTTGTAGGCGTCTTGACGATATGCATATCTTGCATTTCTATCCTCTAATCAATTTCCAGCTGCAACTTGATGAACCTCTTATGATATGGCTATATGGCTGGATAGTAAGCTGTATAGCCCTCAGCCGCCTCAAAGTTGTTGAGATAACATTCGCACAATTGCAAGCTCTCTCTTTAACTCCTCTATATCCCCACAACCCTCCTCTCCTCACATCTTCTCACCGATATCTCAACGCCTACTCTTCAGCACAGCTTCACAACTCCATCACGACTCTCTAAATTTCCCTCAAGTACATCATCCAACCAAGCCTTATACCCAACAAACATCCCTCCACCCCATCTCTCACAAACCTCCCTCAGCTTCCCGTACCTCTCCCTCACAAACCCGTCCCTCACCCCCCTATCCTCCTCCTCCCACCCATCAACAACGCCCTCGCCTATCGCCCAGCAAATCTTCTCCAGACACACGGGACACACGTACGGCGGCTGCCGCTGCGCCTCGGCCACGCTGCCGCACCCCTGCATCGCGCACGCAAAGTACGTGCAGTGGTCCAGTCCCAAACAGTGACACAGCTCGTGTGCCATGGTCACAGCCGTCCTCCCAAGCCATTGGGCTGTCGTGCTAGCAGCGGCATCAAGCCGCGCCTGGCGTGAGATTCCGCTGGAAGATGCTTCTGCTGCTGCTGCTGCTGTTGTTTGTACTGCTTCGATGGCTCTGTCTAGGGGGCCACTGGTACCGGTCCTGGCGCAACGGGAGGAGAGCTGCAGCTTGGCTTTCTTCTTCGTTGGCGGCTCGTCAGATGCTTCCAGACAGAGCTTGTCAATGTACTCCGCGCAGTGAGATGCCGGCCACGCATGGCCATCATCCGGAGGCGCGCACAGCGGCTGGTCGCGGAACAGCGAGACGGCAGCGATGCGGCTTCCCCCGTATGCCCGCCCGGCGGTAAAGATGTCTCCATCTCCTTCGTACATGTCCAGGTCAAGCAGCATCATGATCGAGTGCGCGTCTGCCGGGATATTCTCCGCTAGGGCATCCAGCACGTCGTCCAGGTTGACCTGCATGGGTGACAGTTCGTCCGGCGACGCACGGCACCGGATCCCGAAGAGCCGGTCGCCGGGGGTCCGGAGCCCGATCCGGCGCTGCGCGCTGGGGGACGTCAAGATTGCGCCGTCGTACTTGTTCCATTTCTGCCATTGGAAGGGTGCTTTGAAGAGCTTGACGGGCATGCCGTGGAAGAAGGCGGACAAATATTCCATTAGGTGCTGTATCTTTGGGGGCTCGGCAGCTTGCATCTCGCGTTCCGCCGTTGCGGTTGGAGTGCTGCAGATGGACCACGTCTGCATCTTGGATACCTCTGGAGAAATGGCTGGACTTGGAACGATGTAGATGGTCTTTCTGCCTCGAGTGACTGGATTCCGCTCCTCTTCGCTTCTCCATTCTCTAAGATCCTGGGGTGGCCACTCTGGGTCTTCGGCGAGGTCATCATACGGAAGTACCAAAGGCCCTGGAAATGCCATTCCATCCCCAAAGGCTTCTCTTGGGGTCAGCAACTCCAGGGTCTTGCCGACGCGTCCGTCTCTGGTTGCCGCCAGGAGACGCTGCCTCTCTGTTGCGCGCTTGAAACTGACTCTGGATGCATGTGGCGAGACGTCCACATAGACATGCGAATGTTGGCAAGGCTGTTTCATACTGACTCCAAGAGTAAATGCAGATTGCGAAGCGTTATGGTGTGACTCGGGAGGATCATAGATGGTAAGGGATGTAAGGGAAGAATTGTATCCCTTGAAAAAGCACTGCTGCATAGGTATTCTCGCTCAAGAGGCAGCATTGAGCAGTATACCAAATCAAAGACTCCAAGTTTCAGTTATGAGTCATCTTTTGGGTTGTTATTTCTTTGTTTCCCTTGCCCAGCGGTTTTCAGCGGTTTGAAAGGTGAGGCGTACCATCTTCCGTCCACGATATGCAGTCTTCTCGTGCATTTTCTCGTGCTTAGCGTAGGCCTCGCTTCACGCGGCGAAGCGACGGCGTGAACTGCGACAAGGGTTATCTGCGCTTCCTCATCGTGGCGGTCGGTGAAAAACCCGTCCAGGTTGTGACAAGCATGGAGGAGTTATTCCTCGTAGCGGCTCCAAGTTGAATATTATCTTGGGATGACAAGCTGTTGTATTGAAGTCTGCACACGCCCAATGTCTCATTAGATACCTGCTGTAGACGATACTTTCGTATAGCGTTGTAAACATCATAGCGGGTGAGGCCTTCAGCATGGCATTCGGTCTCAAGCTGCAACTGCTTCAGAATCTGCATAGGCTTGACTCCAGCATCAAACAAGGAGACAATCTTCTCCTTTCTCTTTTCGATAGCCATATTGCGATACCGACAATGCGCCGCCGAGGGAAAAGCCGGATGATTGTGCTCATTCGACTCGTCGTTCCGCGTCCGTCGAATAACCCACGGGGCGAGAGGGTGCTGCCGACTGACGACAAGCTTGAACGGGCAGCCCGTCATCTGGGAACTCGTCTGCCGGCGACGACTTTCAGGAAGATCCGGGTTCTGCTGCGACTTGAAGTTCCGCCCCTTGCTGCAGCGGAATTCGACGCTGTTTGGCCGGGACCGGTGCTTGGTGAAGCTGTAGCCGGCTTGCTGAGCGGCGGCATCGATGGCGACCCTGGCGTCTTCAGGGGAAGCAAAGTCCCGGCCGAATAACGACTCCATGAGCTATTATTGGGGGGGGGGGGGGCTTGTGTACGCGCGGCTGGGTTGCGAATGGCTTCACTTTGCGGCTCGGTTTGCTGTGAGCTGCACAATCAGGAGACTCTATTTCCGTGGTTCCTAGGTAAGCGAAACAGGAACAATAATACCTACGCGACATCGCACACAGCCGCGGGACCCGCCTTTTTGGAGGCCTGATACGCCACGAGGACGCGATGGAGGCTTGGTTAGGGCTTCCATATTCCCAAGTTGACTGTTGGGGGAAGCATCAGCCATAGCTACCTTATGCTTTGGTGCTTCTCAGTCAGTCTCTGTCCTTTGATTTCTTGGGCGGACTTCTTGAGACAGGTTTCCTGTGAAACACGAATCATGGACGCCAAACTGACATGTCAAATCACCCATGTCCTCCACCCTTGCATCCCAATTAAGCAGTTGAAATTACCAAACTGCCGGTATCTTCTCAATGCTACGACTTGGGGATTCTTCGATACCAAGTATCAATAGAATCATAGGGTAGGCACGCAAAATGATTGGCCCTTGTATTTCTTGGATGTACTAGTAGAAGGAGCCAGAACTCAATGAGCGTCAATGTTCATGATAGGGTAGGCAACGAATATCATGATTCTCTGCGGAGGGATACGTATGAAGATGAGAACTACTAGTAGATCATATCGACAGATCCATGTGCAAAATCGTATGTCTCTGATCACGAAGACTCGATGTGAAAAGTGATGAATCAGATCAACTAGACCTCTAGAGTTTACACTCTGCTTACACATAAGCACGTTTTATCAGATCGACCGTCTCCTACAACCCATCAAATCAAATCTCACCCACGAGACACGACATCTCATGTTTTGGTTGCTTCACACTCTTACTAATGGCTCACGATGTCGGATTTTTTTCCTCTGCGAGAAAGAGTCGTCTTTCACACCGTCAATGCATGTTATGTCGTGCGCGCTGCTTTTGGCCTTACGATTTTAATCACTAATAGTTGGTCTATGGGCATGGCTCGACTACGTGTACCTACAGTCCCCATAGGAGCATCACTTTCGGCATCTCCGGTAGCGAGCTTCAAACCCCCCAACACTCAAATCGACAACGAATCCTTCAAATAAAGTACTTAGCTTCATCATCAACAACAACAACAAGGTAGTAGCGAGATTCTGCATGGCCTAAACGCAGCGAGATGAAAGAGTAGTACTTCTGCTGTAGATCGCAATGCATCGTCAAATTGCCCCCAACAGAGAAACCTCAGATCCCAGCAGCTAGACAGACCAAGGCTGCATGCATGCATACATATACATACATTAGATCAACACAGCGAGATATTCAGGAACCGGTTATTCATCCGGCAAAGTGTCAGCCCCCTTTGTTGGCTCCCTCTGACGTCGTCGACATCGCGATTTAGTATCTTCAGCGGCTGCTGAAGATTATTGGGATCTGTCTGGCTTCATGCACCCTTGTCGATCGGCGGAGCAACAGACAGACAGACGCTTGTGCAGGCTTCTCGTGCATTTCTCTCTGCAGGTGTCCATACTGCGTGTGTCTCAGGAGACTTCAAATACTACCTAGGATAAGCATAACCGATGTGGTATTATTGTGCCGTCCATCATGGCAAATACAAACTCGAGTTGACGGCATTCCGGTCGCTCCGGTATATGTCATGGCAGCCAGATCGTTCAATGGCCGGCACTCGTCGATGGAAGCAGCATGACATGACTCGTGATAGGGCCTGGCAGACAGCTAGACAAGGAGACAAGCTCAAAATAGACCCTGCCATTCGCTCATCCACCCCGTCCGTTACACCTTTTTCCAGAACAGACATCACAATCACACTGCCGGTTTCATTCTCTAGTGCAACACTATGAAATGTGCCGATCGCGGGGGCAGATGCATCCTGGTCTGGGGTATTATCCGGTGATGATGATTCCATCACAACTCACGGTTCATAGCTAGGTAGGCAAGTGGGTAGAGAGTATTACCAAGCCCTCATAGTCCGTACAAGCAAGTAGAACGTAGCTCTTGTCTGATTTTCTGTATGATGGCGGTTTTCAGCTTTAGAATCACAAATAGCAACATCGCATTCATCGCATTCACCTCCTTTGCAAAGCCTCAGTCGTTCCACTTTCGCATGCCGTTGCACCCCGTTCTTCAAAACCCCCCCGGACAACCCAGAATCGGGAAATTAGCCACAACAGCTCCCTACGAGCTCCCCACATCCAAACCAGGAAGAGAACTTGGGATCTTCACTCTGTAACCCCTTTCTTCAGCGGCCCCTATGTCATCAACACGTTCTGCGCCAATGACCGACTCATGTGCCTGAACAGATCGGCACTCTTCGAGACCAAACCATGTGTCCTGTGTCGTGGGTGCCAAGGTGCTCCCATGTGTTGGCTGTTGTATCGTATCGCGATGGTTGCTGGTAGGCACTGAATAGGAGTCCATGTACAACCACATCGCCATGCTCCCCTGGTACTAAGCGAGCCCAGTCAAGGAGAATCTCAGTGGAAGCAGGATACTGGCTCAGACCCGGATATGTCCAGAAGCAACGATGTGACTGCCGATCGCTCGACGAGATGATGTGGGTAGAGGATGAGGCCTCGCAGGATATAAAGACGACAAGATCGCCCTCCCAAACTTCTCTCTTCTCATCATCATCAGCAAGCCTTCGCTTTCAGTCACTCCTTTGCACAGCAACTCGCACAGTCACTCTTTTAGTACTTTCAAAACCAACTTCCAAACACCGCCAACATGCGTTTCTCTCTCGCCACCGTCGTTGTCGCCGCCCTTGTCGGCACTGGCATCGCTGCACCTCTCGGTTCGTGAACCTTCCATCCTCATCAACAGCCTCAAGATACTGACTCTTCCGCAGCCCGCCGCACCCTCGTCAGCGAGGTCGGTGGCCTCCTCGTTGGCATCACCCAGGGTGTTGTCGTCGACGTTGTCGCCCTCGAGACCCAGCTGACTGGTCTCCTTGGCCCCATTGTCGCCAAGGTAAGCCAGATCCCCTATCTCTCTGTCTTACGGTACAGCGATGCTCACACAAATAATTTCTAGATCGAGTCTGTCATCAAGGTTACCCTGGCTGAGAAGCTCGTCAGCCTTGTCCACGGTGTTGAGGGCAAGGTCGCCGCCACCGTCAACGTCAACAACGTTGTCCAGATCGTTGGTGAGGCTCTTGCCATGGTTGCCCAGGGTGTCGACCTCAACGCTGTCAACGCCTACCTCAACGCTGCCACCAACGGCCAGATCGTCTCCCTCGAGGTTGCTCTTGGCATCCCCAACCTGTCTCAGGTCCTTGGCCTCGTCCAGCACTAAGCGAAGAACTCAGCATCGGAGGGGGGGAGAAGGAGACGCAGGATGGAGGTTGAGGAAGTTGTGGTTCTTGTAATCTAGCCTTACTTGCAATACACGGGCATTAGTGGTGTCTGTCCGTTGAAGATACCCATTATTCTACTTTTCACTTTCATCCTGCTGCCGTTTGTGATTTTGTGCCATTTTTTACTGTCGATATGCGAATGGCTGAGCACCATGAGTATTATTCTGGGCGGTTGATGGATCTGGGGTAACGTTTGAGGGTATGGCTGAGAGTGAGTGCCTGATCGGCGTTGCCTGTTGATATTCGCGGTATCAACCGGTGTGTTGGAATAGACGTGATTAGACCGATATCGGCAATAGTCGCCCCTTGGGGACAGATGAGCTTCGATTGTGTCCGGCGATCTTGAACACCAAGAATCCGGCTCTCTAGTGTTTGTGACGCGACATACGAGATATCATGACTTCCCAAGGAGCACCTTCTGCGGGAGAGCCTGAACACCCTGCGGCTGCATAGCCACTCGAGTGTCGTGCACTCTGCGATCAAAGACTTTGAAGTCAAAGACACCCTCGAGATCCGCGCGGAACTTTAAGAGCTGATCTTGAGCCTTCTTAATCTCATCTGGCTTGTTGTCTTGGACAACGTGCGCCTTGACCTGCAGAATCCAGCGATTCTGCGCATCAACGCGGGTGAGAGAGTCCCACGCCGGCAGAGAAGCCATTGGCGCTGTGGGAGGTGCCGATTTGAACGACAGAGGAACGTAATTCTCGAGCGGTCCGACGAAGTAGTGCCTGGTGAGACAAAACTCGACGTCATCGCGAAAGAAGCGGTACATTTCTTCTACCGTCTCCGTCTTGAGTCTGCGAGGTCTGTTATTCATGATGAATCAGATGAGACAATGAGTTCATGCGACTAACTGATGATTGTTCTCTTGCAACACAGAGAGCAGCTTTCTCTGATCCCAAAGCTCAACCTTTTTGCGCTGGGCGAGGATGGGTTGATTGCGCGGAGGATCAGGAAAGTCTGTCCATCTCAGGATACCCGGGACAGTGTCGAGATCCACTGGTTCGGCAGAGGGCCCCAAGTCCCGGTCTTTGATGATTTCATAGCGAGCCTGGAGGACGAAGGATTGGCGCGAGAGGTTCTGATGCAGCTCTTTCCAGAGCATGGCGACGTCTTTGCGGATGGGCTTTTCCAAGGAGCGCTGGTTCGTGATCCCGGAGGGCCGCGGGGGGCCTTGAAAGTAGAGGACTCGGCTGGTGGACTCCCATGGCTGCATCGAGCAGAAGCCGCTGAGCACGGCGAGGGCTGTGTTGATGTCGCTGTCTTCGACGAGCGCCGTGAGGAACAGCTCGTACATGGTGAGGAGAGACTGTGCTGGTCAGGGACCAGTGTGGGTTGATTCTGTATCGTTTGCAGTCTTGAGGTAAGCCAGAAGTTAAGCGTTCGATGAAGGCTCAATGGCGGCTTCTGTGGTGAGCTGGATGTTGATTTGAAGGAGTTGATGCTGTTGCTATGGAGGATATGGACGAGGGTGAGGGAAGCTCAAGCTCAAGCTCAAGCTTGGTTACCTGTACCTTAAAGTGCTGCTGTCGAGGTGCACGTGATCACGCGCTCCGGTCGCATCTGTGTGCGCGTCTCTGCCTCCAGGCTTCCCTCCTCCTCCGTCTCTGCCGCCTCTGTAACCAAATGCTTCCATTGCGCACCTCTCCCTTGCTTCAGCAGACAAAACCAAGTATAGCCTTCTCTTGTGTCCTTTGCAGTCGAACAATGGCCACAAAAAGTCCGCCCAGGAAGCGCAAAGACGCCGGTGCTCCGATTTCCCCTCCTCCCCTCAAAAAGGCCGTCAAGAGCACAACTACAAGTACATACGACCCGTGATGACCCTGTACCTTATGCTTTGTGCCTCTCGCTGACTGATGTCTCCCAGAGTCAGCGGTAGCAAGCTTCTTCACCCCAGCCTCCCAGAAACCAAAAGATCGAACCGTCTGGTCGGAACGAGGCCCTACCGATGACGTCCCGGCAACCCTCTTGGTCGGCAGATACCAGCCCGAGAATGACGATCCGACGTCTCGCCAAAAGCGGAGGAAAATAGCTGCATTTGACCTCGACTCGACTCTCATCACTACATCGTCCGGGAAGAAGCACGCCTCCAGCGGAGCAGACTGGAAGTGGTGGGACAGCAAAGTGCCCGGGCGGCTACGAGAGCTCCACGAGCAGGAAGGCTACCATGTCGCGATCCTCTCCAACCAGGCCGGATTGAAGCTGCATTTCGATGCAAAGTACAAGGGCCCAAAGGCTGCTGTGCAGAAGCGCGTCGCAGACTTCAAACAAAAGTGCACTGCTGTGCTAACCGCGCTCGATCTTCCGATAGCCCTCTATGCGGCCACGGAAAAGGACATCTATCGGAAGCCCAGGACTGGCATGTGGAAGGAGCTCTGCGAGGATCTCGAGATTCCCGAGGAAGAGGTTGATCTGAAGGGAAGCTTCTTCGTCGGTGATGCGGGCGGCCGAGTCGCGTTGCTGGGGAAAGGAGACAGCAGTGCAGCAACAGCAGCAGCGGCATCTGTACCAAAGGATTTCAGCTGCTCCGACCGGAATTTCGCTCACAATGTCGGCATCGACTATAAGACACCCGAGGAGTTCTTTCTGGGAGAGCAGCCCAGGGACTTTATTCGCGAATTTGACCTGGTCAACTTTGCATTTCCTGGAGACGACGCATCGCTGGATACTGCCAAGGACCTCTTTGAGAAGAAAAACGACCAGGACGTCGTCTTGTTCTGCGGTCCTCCGGGTGCCGGGAAGAGCACGTTCTACTTTAAAGTCCTCAAGCCTCTTGGATATGAACGGGTGAATCAAGACACATTGAAGACCCGCGACAAATGCATTCAAGCTGCCAAGGATCTGCTTAAAGCCGGCAAGTCTGTAGTTGTTGGTACGTGCTGTCCCGCTTTCCGCTGCTCGCTGTTTAATGCTTGATTCTTGCTTTACGAGCCCGGGATGAAGCTGGCAGACGCTAACATGCAAGCATAGACAACACAAATCCAGACCCCGATACACGGGCCTTGTGGATTGACGTCGCGAGAAAAGCGAGCGTTCCGATTCGGTGTGTATGGTTCTCAACGCCGGTCATGGTATGTGAGCACAACGATGCTGTTCGGGCCCACAACGCTGCACTCAACCCCGAGGCCAGGGAGAGTCTGCCCAAGCTGGCCTTTACCGGCTTTGCATCTAGGTTCAAGGAGCCAAAGGAGAAGGAAGGTTTCCAGGACGTGACGGAGGTGAAATTCCAGTTCCGAGGCACAAAGGAAGAATACGCTCTTTGGGGCCGGTACTGGGTCTGATTAGTCGCCAAAGACCGCACGAGGTGGTAGTTTCACGCAACTACATGGCGTGCGCGCCGATCGGTGTCTGGACGCACCCATGCTGATCTTGCTACCATCCACCAGACTGCTGGGAACTATATGCTCAGACGCCAATCACTTGCATATCGGAAATCGGCAGGCCAATCGCCTGTTCTTGAGGCATCACTTTCTGGGTAGAGTCGTTCTACATCGATAGGCCAGGGGCGCAGAACTCGGAGTCTGAAGCATGGCGGACGTGGCATTCCTATTCCATGGAACTCTTGGAGCGACCATCTGGCCAGCAAGGGATCGAATTGCCAATATGACGCAGATATTCGTGGCCTTAATTCGCGAGCCTATCACCGACATGTAATCTCTCCAGGCCTATCCCTACTCTACTGGCCCGGATCCAAGTGACGCCAAGTGCGCTCTATCCTTGATGATTGATGATTATGAAGAACCTGGGAAAGTGACCAGTCAGCTCACTGTGACTGAAGATTCTGAAGTTCCAACGTGTTGGCTCACGGTCCGGACTCAGGCAAGGGTGAAGCTTGCACTTCCTCCACAGCCTGATATCCAGTCATCCGCTAGAAGAAAATACGGAACGGAGGTGAAGATGGAAACCTGGAAGCCCGCGGCCTGGTCTACACCGAAGATATGAACGGAGGTTGTCCGATTCCCCCGCATCTCCAACCCTTGCTCGGCGTCGGCCTGGCTTCCCCTCACCAAACCCCAGATTCACTAGAGCATTAAACTTCTTGGCGGGCCGGCATGGTGTTGGCTAGTCAGCCGATCTACGACATTGATACGGCAAGGTCTCGTATGGGGCGCCGTCTTGGATGCCCTGTTCTGTCACGGACAACACAAATCGTGGAGTTGTTGCGGAGCACCAGTGTCCTACAGCTAGTCATGGCAGGATGCAAACATGATACAACAACGACGTGCGGGGTATGAGCAATGACTGACTGCCTGATCCGTTAGTAGTCGGAGATGTCCTCGGCATTGGTCAGCGCCTGGCCACGATTTGGGTGCTGCCGGATGCAGATGCCATGAGTGGTGTCGTGATGGTGCGGGATCGTCCCTCTGCATGGCGACACTTCCATCCGGGGTAACCCGACATTGGGCAGATGTGGACACTTCCCAGCTGGAGAAACAGTTACATTCCTGCCTGTCTGGAAAAGTGAGCCGGGCTTGCTGATGACGAGCGAAGAGAAGAGTGTATTGTTGTGCGTTGGCACATGCCTGCGAGTATAAAGCGCGGCATCCCCCCATGTGAGACCTCTGCGTTGTTCATCTCTAATACTAGATCAGCGCTCGACTCGCCTTCCGGTGCACGTCTTAAATCTTGTCTCTTAGCCCTTACAGCCACCAACATTTCTCATCCCTAAGCCTTGTGACAACTGCTGGTTATCTACGGCAAAGGCTGGCACAATGGGCGTCGGGGCAAAGAAACCGGTCAACATCTTCAAGTTGAAAGACTTGGGCGAGCCCGAGGGAGCGTTGAACTGGCGCCTCTGGTTCGCCGTCTTCTCGTTTGGCCTGCTGGGCGCTGCGCGAGGCATCGACGAGGGCTTGATCTCGGGCGCATTCAATTCGGACGACTTCAAGGAATCCATCCATTATGCGTCGTACGACGCCGTGGACCGGGCCAACATCAAGGCCAATGTCTCTGCCATGGTCCAGATCGGCTCTGTCGCGGGCGCTTTGATGTAAGTCACCGCCTCTTCCCTGGAGGCCCCAGCTTCTCCACAACCATTGCGACGATCGCTTGCTGAATGACCATCTTCTTTGGCTATAGTGCCTTTCTGATCTGTGATCGCATTGGCCGTCTTAACGCTACGCGAGTCCTCTGTGTCACCTGGGCTATTGGCATCATGATCTTCATGATTGGAGGCGCCCGCGGGAACCTGGGGGCCATCTATGCGGGCAGATTCGTCGCCGGCCTGGGGGTTGGACAAACGCCTGTCGTGGGGTCAGTATGAGCCGAATTCGATTCCTAACCCACGACGCTTTCTATGCACGACTAACACACTCTGCGTCGTACACAGTCCCATCTATGTCGCTGAAATTGCACCCGCCTCCATTCGCGGTCTCTGCACCTGCTTCTTCACCGGCGCTGTCTATCTCGGCATCCTGCTGGCTTACTTCGCAAACTATGGATGCCAGCTTCACATTAGCGATGACAGCGCAAACCAGTGGCTTGTCCCCACAAGCCTGCATATCATGATGAGCGGCATCATCTTCATCTTGTCCTTCTTCCAGTGCGAATCGCCGCGCTTCCTCGTCAAGCAGGGCAATGTCGAGCAGGCGGTTCACAACATGGCACGACTGCGCCAACAGTCTCCGGATAGCGAGTACATTCTTCGCGAAATCGGCATGATTCAGGCTGGTCTTGACCACGAGCTGGAGGCCAGTCGAGGTGTTGGCTGGCTGGGCAAGGTCAAGGAGCTCCTCCTCGACAAAAGCAACCTGTACCGCGTCTATCTGTCGTCCATGGTGCAGCTGCTGTCTCAGTGGTCCGGTGCCGGATCCATCACCCTCTACGCACCCGATCTCTTCCGCATCCTGGGCATCACGGGAACCGACGAGTCTCTCCTCGTTACTGCCGTCTTTGGCATCGTCAAGTTTGTGGCGGCCATGATCTGCGCCCTGTTCCTCGTCGATGTCATTGGCCGCAAGCGCGCACTCCTGTCTGGCATTCTGCTGCAAGCCATTGCCATGATCTACGTTGCTGGGTTCCTCACTGCTGTGCCTCGACTCGGCGTTGACGAGGACTTTGTTCTGCCCGAGTCCCTAAAGGGCGCCAGTCGGGGCGCCGTTGCCATGATATACATTTCCGGCTGCGGCTGGGCTCTTGGCTGGAACTCCATGCAGTACCTGCTCACTGCCGAGCTGTACCCTCTACGTGTCCGTGCCTTGGCCACGTCTTGGGCCATGACGCTTCACTTTGCGAACCAGTACGGCAACTCACGCGCCGTGCCCGTCATGCTCCTCGACGTCGCCCAGGGTGGGATCTCGCCCAAGGGGACTTTCTGGTGCTTTGCTGCGGTGACGGTCCTGGGCGGCTTCTGGGTGTGGTTCTTTGTGCCCGAGACGGGTGGCCGCACCCTGGAGAGCATGGACCGGCTGTTTGATCTGCCGTGGTACAAGATTGGTCTGTACGGCAACAAGCATGCCGAGGAGAAGGATATGGCTGTTGATGAGAAGCAGAGGGCTGCCGAGGAAGAGTATGGGCGTGTTCAGCAGATTGAGGAGAAGGCGTGATGCAAGAGGCTTGACGCAAGTTGATGCTCATCTCTGGTTAGACGAGCGGTTTGGATATTTTGCTTATGAATTATGACGCTATGATGAAGATGTTGAGCTACTTTCTGCTATCCGTGACGACACTTGTCTTGCCTCGCCTCATAAAGTTCCTTACACTTACTTCGACTTGTTCGATCAACAACAACAACAACAACAACAACACAAGTTACTATGTAAGTAACCCGACCATCTCCTTTGGTCTCCAACTCCCACCATTCTGTATATAGGTAGATAGTCTCGTCTCCAACCAAGTTGAAACAGCCGCGCCGCTAGAAATTCCAAGCCACCTTTTTACCCCATACCGGCATTTCGGCGGCACTTGCTGGATTGAGGCATTGGGGTAGATCTACGGAAGTTGACCGATGAACCATAGAGTTGCCGAATCTCTATTCGTACCGTGTTTGTTGGCTGGACTTTTGACCGTTTGGTTTCGTGGACTGGACCCTCTATACGTTTGGATGTCAGCATCATCGGATTCTCGAGTTCTCTTGTTATGCTTTGATACATACCTTTGGCTTGAATTCATGCCTGTCACCCGCCTACCTTATTCAACCTATTTCCCCACGTAAGAGCTGCAGTGTGTCCACTTGCCCTTCTCCAACCAACCTCGCCGTCCCACTATCTCCCCTCATTTGCTCCCCCACGCTTGGCATGCTATAATATTGGAAGCGTTTGTATACGGACGTAATACTTCCTCCACCAGTTATATTTAGCGAAAAAGTTGACAAGGAACAATATAGAGCGGGCGTTTGTGGAGCTTAGTACTCCGGACTTTGTGTTGTTGCCCAGCCGGGGAAGTAGAGTTAAAGCCCGTACAGCAGGGCCAAGAACGGAGAATTGTGACGGAAGAGGGGACCGGATATAGAGAGGTCCTGGAGAAATCGAAGGGATGTGATGGCCTTGTCCGATTTATTATCGTGGGATTGCCTGTGGTGATCTCTCGCTTTTCGTGGTTAGAATAGTCGCGTGTTAGTATGTAAGAACAGTCTTGTAGGTAGCTGGGCATGATGGTGTATTGGAGCAGATGGGGACGAGAAGGACATGTCTCCGGCTGAAGCTTGAAGGTATAGGCATGAGGATTTCAAGCCATGCTTTGATGCTTTTGGGTTGAGATGTGGCGGCATTCGAGGCTGACATTTGAAGACAGCTCTTCGAGTCTGTGTCCCACTCCGATTGCTTCAAATAGAGTACACGCATCTGGCAGAATAGGTATTCTTACCTCTTTTACTGTTACTGAAGGAAGGATAAACGCCTACCTAGGCAGCGTCTAAGGAACGGATGAGGGTAGCCATCGACTTCCACATCAGTCCACTATGGCCGTCGCTTTCCCATCCTATTATCTGAACGAGATTGAATACCTCGGTCAGAGTACAAAATACAATGCTCGAGTTAGTACGCATGTTTTGAGGAAGAGATACTGCACAAAAAATGCCATTAACCGCATTCTTCATCTTCAAGATCTTCAACCAGTTAGGACCGCCTGTGCTGCTTGATGCCTTAATCAATGGCCTTGATCCTCTAGAGACTTTCTCCCCTTTCGTAACAAGAGTTATTGAAGGGATTCCATATAATGCTACCTCAACTTTACATTCTACAGGTGCCGAACCTCGGATCATTTATAGGATGGTTCTTGTCACAATTCGATAAGTTATACAAGGCTGTGGGATACGGCAAATGGTCTCACTCTGATTGCCACTGAATTGTAGCGGCATCGCCAAGGCAACACTGCAGCAACCTCAAGCTGAAGCCTCTGGGTAGCACAATCTGCATCTATAGTCACCTTCTTTTGTGCAAAACAGCGACCAATTGGTGTATTCAGAACCCCGAGCATGTAAGCCAAATCACCATGACTCCGTCCATCATGCCTCAAACTACTCCAAAGCACCACTGGAGCCCTCATCAAATGGACCGGCATTTGGACAATGTACGAACAAGGCATCTCCAAGTCGGAATTCGCTCATCAAAAAAAGGGATATTTCACAATAAATATAAGCTCAACCAAAACCACATTCGGGGCACGCCCGGGGAAGCTGTCAGAGGCAGACAAAAGGCATACAAAGGCATCAATTAGGCTGATTATCCTATTGACAAGCGACATATTATGGTTTCAATTTCTCTACATGTTTCTGTGAACATCTTTTAGCATCATTCTCAAACTCCGAGGGCATCATCCAACACGGGCCTGCGCTTCAACACCCCCAGAACGACAGCGAACCTGCAGCACCATAAGCCTGCAGCTCATACGAAACTACCAGTCCAACGACAACAACAATTACCAAGAATGTCCTGAATTTCCCCTCTTCGATATACTCCACACTCGGGCACTGAAAAAAACCTCAACGGCGGTTCGGTATCTTCTAAGGCCTTGGCATCTTGGCCCCATGCAACCATCAACGCACATTGCCTGTTTGGGCCACCGAGGATCCCAAACGCCGCCTAATAAGGAACCCCAGGTTTCTCTATATGCTTAAAAATAAGGCTTCATTTTGCGTGTGAACTTTTTCTTGTTTAGGAAGCTTGTGACTCTCAACTGTTGCAGGCTTGAATGCCTTGGATGTGAGATGTCCGCTCCACGTGGGATCATGGCAAGACGTGACTGGCTACAGAAGCAATTGGCAAGCTGTTCCCCTGTATTTTGGTATCGCCTATCTATTTTCGTCTGCAAGGGATGAAGATGGCGGGAGGAAACGCTGTCTGGAGGTCAGTTCGATGGAGATTCTCGATGGACTTGATGTCATGCTTATTGGCTCACGGATGGCTACATTATACGACAATGGGCGGGATATGGCGTCTTGGCTTTGAGGAAACGCTACTCTATCTTTGTAAAAGGTTTCACTGCAGTCTCAACGCTAGAGTCTTGTGGTATACGCTTGTATATAACAAGGCAGCCCGCAAGTAGTGGACTGATCCATCGCAACTCTATCCATGGACTTGGCCAACAGCTACCCTACTCTCAGCCATGCGTTTGCTTCCGTCTCTGTATCTTCTGAGCCTGGCTATTGCGCCTATCTTTGCCACTGCAGACGGAGAGGCTAAATCCAAGAGCGGCAGCAAGAACTTTGACGTCAAGTCTCTCTCTCTCAGAGAAGTGGGAGCACGCAACACGGTGGTAAGTAGAAAGCTCTATGAAGCAATGTTTTCCCAAGAACAGGCAGTTAACTGTGACTCAGGACTGGCGTGTTTGGCTGGAGCAGGATGGCGACCCGATTTCCTTCTGGCACGACATTCCTCTTTACCCTGACGAGAAGCAGCACAACATTGTCAATTTCTACGTTGAGATTCCCCGATGGACGGATGCCAAGATTGAGACCAAGCGCGATAAGCCCTTGAGTATGTGGAAGTCGACCAATATTCTTTATCTCCTGGATACTAATGGATGTGACATTGGTAGATCCTATCTATCACGACGACAAGGACGATGAGCCTCGATACGTGGCCAGCATCTGGCCTCACAAGTCATACCCCTTTCTATACGGCTCGCTACCCCAAACGTGGGAAAACTCCAACATCAAGCACAACTTTACTGGCTACGTCGGCGACAATGACCCCATGGATGTGGTTGACATCAGTGCCATTGAGTGAGTGCTGCTTGCTGTACGTGGATTACAGCTGAGCTAAATAGGCAGCTGACCATCACAGCCCCGGATATGTTGGCCAGGTCAGGACGGTTAAGATTTTGGGTGCCATACCCATGATTGATGTTTGTATATGCCCTTCTTCAAAGATTGATTCTCCTCTTACATGACTTACAGGATGAGACTACGGATTGGAAGGTCATTGGCATCAATGTCAACGATCCTCTATCTAATAAACTCGAGAGTAGGACACCCTTGCCGCAGCTACAAGCAGCCAGATGCTAACAGGTCAGCCATCGACGATCTCGAAAAGTACCGCCCGGGCCTCAAACAGACATTTTACGACTGGTTCACCGTACCTCGCCACCTCCCTCAACGTTCAAAGACACGCTGCTAACAACAACGACCGCAGTACTACAAAGTTCTCCGCAGCGGCAACCTCAACACCATCTTTCTGAGCCAATATCAAGACTCCACGACAGCTTGCGACATTGTCGCCGAGAGCCACGGCTTTTGGAAGGACCTCATTAGCGGCAAGGAGGCGCCCGGCAAGATTAGCATCGCGCAGACGTCGCAGGCGGATGTGGTCGAGAGCTATGTCAAGAGCAAGGACGCGACTAAGAAGTTTGACCTGCCCAAGAAGTCGGATATCAAGACGCCCAAGGAGAGGCCGGCGAGATATGACAAGTGGTTCTATCTGGATGACAACTTTGAGCCGCTACCCGAGCAGGAGATTGATGTCGACTGAGTGTGAGAAAGCACCTAGATAGCAAGGGAAAAGACGCGTTTTAGAAGAGTCGAAAAAGAGACCTCAAGGATACAACTCTTGGGTAACACAGGCAATCGCTGGTCTATTTTTTTGTATGTTTACCTTGATACGCCTGTAAATGATGACTACTCTATCTGGCGAAAGTGCCCTCCCATATATCCCCCTTTTTAAAGAAACTCATCCACCTCTTCCCAAGCTCACAACAACCATCTACTCGTACTTGTGCGTCTCAAACTTGCTCTTGGCCCTGATCCTAGGCCCAAACTTGAACAGGACCCAGGGGATAGGTATCAATGCCAGAGCAATGAAGCCCAACAGACTGCTGGCCCAGTGAATGCCCAAGGTGGTATACACTGTCCGAAAGACGTCAGCAACTCTCTCAATCGGACAAGCCCAAAAAGACGTCAACTCACTTTGAATTGTAAACAGGGGAAACACGCCCGCAAAACCATATCTCGCCAAACTGTTCGCACTGGACGCACTCGCAACGACGTTCCCCGTAAACGTATCCGTCGTGTACTGCATCGTGCTCACAAAGACGCACAAATTGCCCCAAGCAAACGGGATAATGGCCGCCGCAGGGCTCGCCCAAGAAACATCCTCCCGCGCCGTCCACGCAAACCAAAACAGCCCGAGGGGCAGCCCGAAGCTGCCAAACATGGCGGGATACAGCCTGTGCTCGGGAGGAACCCTGTGAGGCGGATACTTGGGGATCTGCTTCCGATAGAGCAGGATTTCGCAGGCCATGATGGTGGCGAGGCCAATGACACAGCCAATGACGATGGAAATGAAGACCAGGCCGGACTGCTCCGTGGTGAAATGATACACGGTGCCAAAAGTATACGGAACGCCGCCGAAGAAGCTGAAGAGCGTCCCAAAGTCAATGGCCACGTAGAGACAGATGAAGGAGACGATCGGTTCTGTGAAGAGCATCTTGACGGGTCGAATGGCCGCAACAACGGCAAACGTCTTGACTCGCTGGCTCATGGGCGGCAGGGGAGGGAGCTCGATGCCGCGCTTCTTGGCCAGGCGGCGCTTGAGGATGGGGTGGAACGTCTCGCCGATGGTGCAGCCGAGGCCGATGCTGAGGGCGGAGAAGAAGAGCATTGTCCACTCGGTCCAGCGCCAGCCCTTTTCGACAGAGACAAAGGAGCCGATAACGGGGCTGTTCATCAGATTGATCAGCTTGCTATAATGAGCAGAGGGACATGGAAGTGTAACTCACCCTAAGCCTGGCCCCAAGAAAGGAGTGAGGATAAAAAGGGCGCTCACAGGACCCCTAGACTTGGGCATAAACGTCTCCGACAGCGACCCAGGCGCATTCGCCAGCACGGGAGCCCAGAAGAAGCCCGTGAGAAAGCGCAAGAAGCAGAGCGCCCCAAAGTTGTGCACAAAGCCCGCTCCGAGCGTAAACAGCGCGCCAATCGTCATGCCGCCCATGATGACGGGGTACCGGCCGATGGTCTCAGAGAGAGGCCCGCCGAGAACGGGGCCGATGCCGAGGGCGACGACGTAGAGCGTCAGGGGGAGCAGGGCGACGGTGCGGCTGACGCCGAATTCCAGCTCGAGGAGATTGACGGAGGAGCTGGAGATGGACGTTGCTATTGATCTGCGTGTGTTGTGCGGTGTTATCGGCACTATTCCTTGATATGAGATTTTCGGAGACCCAAGACTTACATCGTGAGGCCCATGGTGGCCAGGGTGAATATCGTCAGGGCCTTCTTCCACGCAGGCCAGTTGTACGGGTTATGAGGATCGTTGTCCCAGTCGAGGGGGTCCGGGTCTTGGACTACCTGTCCCTTTTCGGCGTCGCTGTTGCTGTTGCTGTCGCTGTTCCCGTACTGGTCCTCCGGCTTGACCACCAGGGTGCTGTCGTCCTGGCCATCGGGCACGATCGAGTCGTCAATCACCCCTGGAGACGCCATTCTAATGTCTTGTTCTTCTTCCCCCTTTTCTCAACGGCGGCCGGTGTGTAGTCAGGGTCTGGGTGATGAGTTCGATGTTGTGATGGCTTTCTGGTCGAGTAGGGGGTTCGTTTATTATTGACTCTTGGAACGAGTGTCTCCTTATTGCTGTTGTACAATTCCAAATCGACTCTTGTATCTTCTTGATCTTTCTTCCTTCTTTCAAGACTCTCTTTCGATCCGCTGCTCTTGATGTTTCGACCGGTTATTGATGCCCCAATAGCAAGACAAGCACCAGAACAGAACATTCACCCCAGCAAAGGGGCCCACGGTCTTTTAAAGCAGCCATATTGAACCCAGCCCAGCACTGCTGTCCCTTGCATCCAGCAACTGACTACTATACAACCTACATATACATGAATCATTACCATTATACAATGCACCGCAATCTCTGGTTGGTAATCCGGAAGCGCCTCAGATCGCCGGCGACGGGCCGGGTCCGAAAGAGAAAGCGGGCATTTTCCCGATTACTCAACACTCCAGAGACTGCCGAGGCATTCGACCATCTCCCCCCAATAGCATCGCTAGTACCAGCGAACGCCATACTGGTTTCTGGAATCTTGATTACTATACATATTCCTGAATAATGGTTTTTGTTGATGATGGCTGCTGGGAATGGTACCTTTTATTGGGCGTTTTGCCATGTGAATGTGTTCTGTCGGGGCTTCTCTTTGATATCATACCAGGGTTGGATTGCCCGGATTGAGTAACAATACCCGCAGCAGCCCGTGCTGATTTCCATTTCGCTGGAAAGTTCGAGGGCAGGATGAATTAAGAATCTGATCTTGTTGGTCATGGGCCTGTGGCGTATAAACTAAAGGAGCACGGCGGATGCTGGGCACGATGAAAAGAACGTCCGCGCCGAGCCTCGAAGATTGTACACTTGAGAGTATCGATGTAAGTGACTTGGAGGATGCACAGCTGAAGCTCTCCGTAGAAGGTTACCATCTCACATATCGAGTGCTTTTTTGAACTCAGATCAATCTAGAGGTTCAAGGCAGAAGCTTCTTCTTATCGTTCCTATGATTGACGATCTAGTTCACCAGACTGTTGCCCCATCAGCAACCATGTGTGTTGTAGGAGACGTAGGAGTATGAGTTGCACGGCATGCCAGCAGCCTTGCTACAGACAGCACTTGGCTGATGATAGGCACAACGTACCTAGGTAAGTCCAGACTTTGCTCGAGATTTACCTGGAAGCACTCCTAGAAGAAAAATCACACTAGGTAGGGGTAGATGGGCAGCCACCTGCGTAATGTGGTCATTCCATGACAGGGAGTGAAAGTGCCGGTGATCGACTTGCTCAAGCCAGTAAAAGGTTCTGATACAGAATCTACTTGCTTGAGCAGAGAGAGGACTCGCCAGAAGCTCACTAATCGTAAAGCTATATGATCTGAACACAGACACAGAAGCCGAATAGCATACGACCATCAGGTCTCAATAACGCCTCAGCCGAGATCCATCTACAATACGCTGCACGCTTAGAAATCGGCAAGGGCCTAGTCGAGATGCAACCTGTGAAGCCACGATTATGTGATCCCAAGACACACAGAGACCGGTCGACGGACGAGCTTCTGGAGCCGGGCCGCAGCGAAGTATTACGCAATTTGGGATGAAGTAATGAAGACTCATCGAGGAAACTGCTCGATTAGAGCTCCTGTTTGTCAATCAAGTTGGGGCTCTGACAAAGACTTGGTGAAAATGGCGTTTCGCATCGCTTTTGAGGCCAGCAGTGTGAGGTTGTAACTTGCCATGCCTTGCTACAGAATCACCGAACTCACCACGCGGCAGCTTTGAACCAGCAGAATACATGATTCGTCCTGGCTATTGTTCCCTGTCAGCTCCGCCGATGACGATGACGATGCTATAGGTGGTGGTGCAAAGAAAAACATGGCCGATGGCTAGGTATGTTGTATATTTGAATTCCCAGCTGAGCGGCAGCTGAGCAACGGCCACGAGCCGGATGAAAGCCGCTCACTGCATTCAACCCTTGATCATGTCAATCCCATCGTAATTCTGAACCTTCTCACGAATCGCCGTCTTTCAACCCCCAATGCATTACTGGAGAGTTATCTCTTGAGATGCCGTTACTCATTCGCCGGTGGTTGAGTCATGCGGGATCTAGAGGTTCGAGACAGGCGCCCTACGTGAAGGCATCAAGCAAACACCAACAGGACCATTCAACGACGAGTTCAGTCATTCTCATCAGCCCAGCTCAACATGGCAGATTGCTGTGTTGTATAGAGCAGCTCAAATGGATGGCAGAATGATGAAGAAACAAGGTCAGAGGCTACTAGATTGATCGGGAGCGTCTTCTGGGGGCCCAATTCGATATCCACAAGCCGCCTGGGATAACTGGAGCCTGTCGACTACATGTACCTAACTTACACAAACAAAACACCAAGCCTGGCATCACCACCAGCATCTTCCACCCTCACCACCACCCTCATCCTCAACGTCCTCGTCATCACCACCCTCACCCTCATCACCACCACCACCACCATGTCTTCTTCTTCTTCTTCTTCCAAACCCCGATTCGCCACTCCCCTCCCGCAGTCCCCCCGCTCCGACGTGCTCGAGTGGAAGTTCCCCAAGCCGCACAGCCACCTGGTGCTCACCGGCCGGTCCCGCGCCGCCTGGCACACGTCGTTTGTGGTGCCGTCGCTCAACCTGCTCCTGGACGCGGGCCTCATCGTCAACAACCAGCGGCCCAAGCACATCTTCCTGACGCACGGCCACAGCGACCACACGCTGCTGGCGCCGGCCTTTGTCAAGCGCGACGACCCGCCCGACGTCTTCTGCCCGGCGCAGATGCGCGACGCCCTCGACGACTTTGTGCTGGCCAAGACGCTGCTCAACCTGGGCGGCGAGATCCGGGCCGACGACGCAGAGGCCCGGGGCCTGGCCGTCGACGACGAAGCCGTGCTTGCGCGCAGCCGGCAGCTCGGCCGCACGCCCTCGGCCACGGCCTTTCTCAGCACGCACATCACCCACGGCCTGCGCGCCGGCGACACGGTGCCTCTCCGCCGCGCGCAGGCGCAGGGCATCGCCGCCACGGCCTTTGCCTGCGACCACACGGTGCCCTGCCTGGGCTACGTCTTCCACAAGACGACGCAGCGCCTGCGGCCCGAGTTCGCCTCGCTGCCCGGCCCCGAGCTGCAGGCCCTGCGCCGCGCCGGCACCGCCCTGACGGCGCCCTTCACGGCCCCCGTCTTCGCCTTCCTGGGCGACACGACGGCGCGGACGCTGGCCGCCGAGCCCGAGTGGCTGCGCCGCGAGATCCCCGTCGTCGTCACCGAGTGCAGCTTCTTGTATGCCGAGCACGAGCCGCAGGCGGCCAAGACCAAGCACACCTTCTGGCGCGAGCTCGAGCCCGTCATCCGCAAGTGGCCCCGGACGACGTTTGTCCTGACGCACTTTAGCATGCGCTACGACGACGCCGAGATTGCGCGCTTCTTCAACGAGATGCCTGATCCGCCGGCCAACATGGTTGTCTGGGCGGATCTCGAGTGCTGATGGCGAGAACCCGTAAAGGGGGCACAACTCAGCCTCCTACTATTTCGCGACACGTAGCAGGGGACGACAAAAGGGGCGAAACGAGGCAGTCGATCCTATCGTCTTTGTTGGACGCTTTATTAAGCGACACCGCCATCTTCTGCGCCGCCTGGTGATTGAGCTGTTCCCCCCCCCCCCCTCTTGTGTCACCGTGGGATATTGCGCGTAAAGTTACATGTGCATGTTCTTGGTGTGACCTCGATGGATGGGGGAGAAGGGCTCGACTTGCGATGAGAGGGCAGCAAATGGGTAGATGCTTTCAGGGGCCTGCGAGTGACAGAATCTCATTCGAGGTGCTCCAAACGAGGGCAGACGGGCGAACAGCGCCTCAGATATACGATGGGAGCTACGACGGCCCCTTCTCCCGATTTACACAAGCCGCAGCTGTTTCTTTTTGTTCTATAAAAAGGAACAAGCTCCCTCGGAACCGATTTGCCGGGATCTCTTCAGGCAAAGACAAGGCAGAGAGTTCCTCCTCCTGTGTTGTTGTTAACGGTACACCAAAAGGCTCGCCGTCTCACAAAAGCCACCATCTATAAAAGGCAGCCCTGCGAAACAAGCAAACATTTTTAAATTCTGAAATCGCCTGCGTTGCAAAAGTTGTCGTCGTCGGCACGGGTCGAGTGTTTCTCGGTCCCATGAGGCCATGCGGTTTCGCCCTCGCGTGGACGCCCGTGGATCGATGTCGATGAGGCTGGTTTTGTGATACATCAAGGAGGCCGCCTTTGTTGTTGTTGTTGTTGTTGTTATTGTTAGTCTAGGCTGTTGGAGTCGATATATAAGACGGCGTCTTCCTTTGCATCCTGTCTTCCTCGAGGATCACAGCCTCGCTCCCAACCAGATCCAAGAAAATCTCCATCAACACAAATCTGACATCCGACCCTCAACTCACATACACACATCGTCTTCCCTTTCAACCAAGCCCCTCCAAACAACAACCTCACAAAACACAACTTCACAACTCCACGCTCACTCACTCATCATGTGCGTCCACTTCCAGTCCTGGAACCGCTGCTCCTCATGCTTCCTCACCTTCAACCGCCGCCGCAACCGCGTGCCCTGCTGGAACGGCTCCCTGTCTCGCTGGCGCATCCACCGCCATGGCCTGTCCTGCCGCAGCGGCTGGTACGAGCGCGCCGACGACGAGGTGTACACGCACCTGTTTTGCGAGGCGTGTGCCATGGAAGCGGCAATTCTTGATAGAGAGGATTCTGATGACGATGCTGACAATACCAATCACCACCATGTCGATAATGACGACGACGATGACGATGGAAAGGGGCACATGGTGGAGGAGAGTCGAGGGAGGAGGAGGAGGAGTACGATGAGGTCAGAAGACGAAGCTACAGCCTTGACTACGGATATTGTTACGACGAGGGAAGTGGCCAAGAAGAGTCAACCGAGAAGCTTCAGCGGCGTGCTTGTGAGGCTGTTCTCGCTTGGGGAGGTTCTGCGCGTTCGCAAGACGAGCAAGGGCCGGAGACATTTTCACGTCAGCATCTTGATGCTCTGATATGACATAGACACCACCCTCTCAAACTCTGCAACCACTTAAACTACCTACTAATGATACCCATATCCATGATATCCTAATCTCACCTGATGCGATCTATATCTTGTCATTTCTCCTGAACTTCGCCCTCCGCGCATCCAAGAACAAGCTCCCATCACGAGGAAAACCCCAGAACCAGCACCACCAAGCCGTACCCTTTCAAGTCCTCTAGCCACAATGAAATAACAAAAGGCACATGCTCCAGACCCTCCCGCACATTAATCCGCGCCCCTCCTCCCCCCTTCGTAGCACACAAACCGGGCCCTCGCAGTTCCTTACCCGTTACCCAAGTCAAAAGGGGCCCGGACGTACATGTACCAAAAGCCGTCATTGTTCTCCCAATTTCGAAAGCGGTCAACCCAGTCGTGACTCTTATCATGGCTCGCATACTCCCCTTTCTACCTTGTTGTTGTCAACCTTGAACCCCCTGTTCTGCTCACCTTGCAGCCCATGTTCATTCTCACGCTTTTATAGGCGAGGACCGTCTGGATTTCATCAAGTTGGGCGAGATAGGTATAGCCCGTGTACCATGCGGCATGCAGTGTAAAAAAATTGAAACAAAAACACGACTCCAAATCTTGTGCATCCAGCAATCTCTCAAGCAAGCAGAAAGGACGATAAAGACGTCCTCCAGCCCTTCCACTCGAACCATTCCCCCCCTCTCTCCTCTTCCTCTATTCATTCCTGCAGTCCATCATACCTACCTATCTTATGTCCATGTCAAAGCTTTCAACGGCCGCGATCAAGTCACACTCAAACCGTCCTCCAACGTCGCCTCTGTCCTACAACCATCACGCGGTTCCCCCAAAACAACAGCGAGCCCCCGAATCGCATAAACGCACCAAGAGCACAAAAAAAACCACAGCACCGCCACAGCTTCCACATACACATACACATACACACTCACACAGAGAGAGAGAGAAGCGCTACGTGATGCGTCATAACAAGAAACAAGGCACCCAAGTCATATGAGCTGAACAAGATCAAAAATCAATATCCCTTGTAGAACAAAGACTTCTTGACCGTCTGCTTCGTGCATCTTCAATGTAGCAAGACTGGAGCTGAAAGCTTCATCCCGTGATGTCTCATCTCCTGCCTGCCTAACCCCTGTCACTTCATGATACCATCTACAGAGCCTGTCTGACATGATACTGCAATCTCGTGACTCTCAATGGAACTTTTCAGAGAACATCTTCGTAGGACCAGATACCTTCTCAATGGAACTTTCGAAAAAAAACATCTTCGTGGGACCAGATACCTCAGATGCCTCCAATCCTCCGAACCTCCACGGGAGAAACACGGCTGCACATCAATCCTGCATGCATCTTCACTCGGTCTTCACACAATCCTCGATAAATGTCATAAAGCGTTTGTAAATATTCTAGCAGGAGGACATGGCCTCTGCGCATCCACAATATGACGCCCTTCTCTCTTCTCTGCATCCCATAATGCTTCTTGATAAAACCAATAGCTTCGTGATTATACATATACAAACCGTGCTTCCTGCACCGAGTCCCGTTCCCAAAAATAACGATAAAACATGCCGCGCCTTTTCTTGTTGCCCCCTTTCCTACATGTCGTATATATAAAAAAAAGACAAAGAAACCAGGAGCGTGGTTCCAAGACGGCCGAGCGAGAAAAAAAAAATAATGCAATGGCCGTATCGACTATTGCTTGGTATATGCCGGTGTAGATGTATTTGCTCGATACTGTCGTGAGGTAAAATACGGAGTCATTGGAAGGCTTTTGTGGTGCGCGTCTCTCTTTGGTGATACCTAAAATCACTCGTCGTCCTTGGACGCGCTCTTGGCCATCAGATCCTTTTCGGTAATGTAAAAGTTGGGTTTGTCCTCGAGGAACTCCTTGTGGAAGAGCTCGAGATAGCGTCCGGGAACCTGCTGGCCGACAAACACCTTGATCCAGCTGTCCTTTCCGGTCCACAGGTGGCGGATGAAGCGTCCTTCGCACTCGGAATCGCTGTTAGGGAAACCGTTGGCGTCAGTACAGGGCAGCTGCCTGATGTCGTCGGGGTAGTCATAGCGGATGAAGGTGCCAAAGCCGCCCTGGTCCGTGGGCCGGCCGGGCGAGTTGGTGCGGAACTCGACGCACTCGGGGTGCTTGCCGTCCTCCTCGGGGCATCCCGCCCAGGCGTCCATGATCTCGTACGTCTTGGGGTTGTTTTGCGCAACGATGAAGCCGGTGTTGAGCATGAGCTTGCCGAACTTGTCCTTGTTGTACTCGCGGTTGGGGTCCACGGCCAGGGCCAGGGAGTTGTTGCGCGGATCGAGGTTCCAAAAGTTCAGCAGCCACTCAAAGGGAAGGTCGAGGTTCTGGAAGATGGCGTCGGAGTCGAGGTACAGACAGGTCTTGTGCTCCTTGAGGATGGTGGAGATGACGGGGGCCTTTTTCCACGAGGCGCGGCGATCCTCGGGCTTCTCAATGGCGACAAAGTAGTACTTGTAACCGTGAATCTTGGCTGCAGGTCATCAGTTAGCGTTTGCTTCAAGCACGAAAATCACATCGGCACGTACCATAGAGCCAGTGGTTCAGCACGCCCACAGACAGGCCGTGGACCTTTTCTGCGTCCTTCTCCCAGCTCATGACATTGGGTCCGAAAATCTGGTTGGGCGCATCAAAGGGGCGGTTGTCGAGATCGATGATGCACAGATCGTGGCCGAGGGGCTCGGGGAAGTGAACGCCGTGCTTGAGATCGTACTTGAAGGCGCCAAACGGCTGGTAGAAGCTGGAGTTGGGGGTGATGGACGGCTTGTGCACGTCGAACCAGACATCGCGGAAGCTGGAGTCGGAGATGTCGGACTTGGACGGCTCGACGGGCTTGACAGGCTTGACAGGCTCGGCGGGTTTTACCGGGTCGGACGGAGGAGCAGGCTTGGACTCGGAGGGAGCGGTGCCTGTGTTTGACTGCGTCCTGCAAGTGTGGGATAAATCAGTCAGCCATTTGTTTCCTGTGCGACGCCGCCGATGCCATCGGCGTCTCGACTCGAATCGACTCAACGTACCTGTGAGGCAGCTCGGTCGAGTCCAGCTGGTTGTAGACGAGGCCAGCAAAGACAATGATGAAGATGATTGCGCCGGCCAAGAGGGCCGACAGCTTGGAGGATCGAACGCCGCCGACAAACATTATCGCTGCATACTCTGCCTGGTCGCTGCGTGATGGGATGTCGAAGGAAGTCGAGCCCTGTTTTGTTCGGTTCGCTTCGGGCTCGGTTCTGGTGCTGCGCGGTCGCAAATAAAGAGCGTGACAGAGGAGGACCCTAGCCGGCAATGACTCGTGTGCCTGCCACAAACGAAGGAGAGGAAGAAGGCCGGTTATTAGGAGGAAGACGACGCGCAAAGGGGGGAAAAGCCGAACAAGAAACAAGAAGCAAAGTAAACGAAGGAGAGGGCAGAGGGCGATTGGCGACAGCGTCAAAGAGGAAGCGCTCGGATTTGGCCAAGAGGCGCGTGGAGGCAAAAGATGAGGGAAGAAGGAGGAAAAAAGGGGGCAGAGACTGGAGACGACGAGGCTTAGACACGTTGCCGGGTACGTACCGGGTGGTGCGGGCAAGGTATCTGCTAACAGAAGAGGCCGTCTATCGGTGGCAGCACACACCAAAGGGCGAGGCTTGGCGATAAATGGGGAGATCGGATTTGGACGTTTTGGTGACGACCTGCAGCGCAAAGAGCCCCATCGCTCAGGGCCTGCAGTGCCCACTCACAGCGGCTTGCGTACGCTATCAGTTGATGCTAGCAGGGGCCTGTTCAATGGTCTGCTTGCGACATGAAGTTTTTGGCTTCCAAGGTTTGAGTGGGCGCTGTGAGGATTGGCGCTAGTAGCATCGATTTGATGGGGAGGGGCTTGGCTAGGATGATAGATTCCGTGTTGTGTGGAGGGACCTGGATAGGGAGGGATATGGATAGGTAGTAGTAGTAGTAGTAGTATAATTCTAGGGTGGTGAGAACTCGACTCGACTGCGACCCATGGTTTCAGCTGCTGCGACAGCATTGAGTGCTGACAGTGGGTGCAGTAAAGAGATCTGCGTGATTCGCTGCACTTGCTGGGGGATTTCGAGGTCCAAAATGGGCACGAACTTGCGATTTGCTTCTCCCCTATCTCGATGCAACTGCTCGTATCGATCCTCCGTTCCTAGTCTCTATCCGTACATATTCATCCCACGCATATGTACAACACAGCCCAGGGTAAGCCACGGAGAGGAGACAACGGATTCAACCGGACAATTGAAGACAACATGACGTTGACAATCTCCTCACATCCCATCGATCGCAAAGCACACGCTCCGTGCAATCAATCCTCGTCGTTGTCGAGACGAGTGATGATGACGGCTCGCCACAACATGATGCATCCAGCAATAAAGTGCATTCGGTTAGCCCAGGACCCCTCAGCCCAGGTCCAACCCCGCGAGTGGCTTGAACGATAGTGATGCAACATCTCGATTCTTATTTCCGCATTCATCAATGCCATCTCCATCATGGACCGGCAATATACAAAGATATACAAAATGTTCCAGGGCTGCAAAATGCAAAAAGCGAAAAAAGAAACGCTGCGTGAACTGGGAATCGAACCCAGGGCTCCCCGACGTTGCGGATGGCAACGGAGAATTTTACCACTAAACCATTCACGCTACTCCATTTGATGCTGACCATAACCGCAAAAACTCTCTATAATCTTCCTCCCCGCGAGACGCTGACCTTCCGGCACCAGTCGCGTCCATGGGCAACCTGATAATCACACAGACTCGTCTCCATCACAATGCTAATCAAGCCCGCAATGCAGATGCCCCCGCTGTCACTCACCGTCGTGGCGCTCAGGCTGAATTCGCGCTCCTCGGCCGGCACGTTTTCCATGATTTCGGCAAAGCACGTCACGTAGACGGCGCCGCCGAGGAGGCCCTCCCAGAAGATGATGATGAACACAATGTAGACGGACGGGATGAAGAAGAACATGGCATGCAGCGTCAGCAGAAGCAGGTTGCCGACTTGGAGCAGAGACGGGAGGTATAGGTGGTGGATACGGATAAAGGCCGTAGAGGATCGCGAGATGAAGACGCCGATCTGGTAGAGAAAGCCGTAGAAGGGGTAGAATTCACGATACTCGGTGAACGGCGAGGAGTCGAGGGGGAAGAGGAGCGTGGGAGACACGCCTTGGTTGATGGTGTACTCGGCCACATACACCAGCAGCAGGGGCGCCATGTACGGGATGAAGAGCGCCCTGGCTCTCCGCAGATGGTTCTTGAACGTGCGCGTGTTGCCCCGGGTCATTGCATACGCAGTGTTTGCCGACAGAACGGATGGCTCTGGTGCCAGCAGGGCAGAAGTGCTCTCCGCCAGGTCCTGCTCCGTGCGTTCTGCATCGACGTCATCATCTTCGTCCCTCCCAGGGACAGCGTCGTATTCTTTGCCTTGGCGCAACGGCCCCAAGGGGAGAATGAAGAAGAAGCTGATGAACATGATGGCGGGCAGACAGGCTGAGAAGAGCAGGCTCTGCTGCACGGTGAATCCCCACCAGTCCGTCAACATGACATACAGCCCGGCCCCGACCAAACCCGCGGCGCCGGTGCCAGACCCCCAGCCGGCCAAGCTCACATGCCCGTAGTAATGGGACAGTCCCAGAAAGCTGAGCTCGCCGCCGCCGCTGCTCAGACTGGCCAGGATCACCCCGACCATCTTGACCGGCACCGACCGGGAGGGCGGTGTAAGAGCAATCATCAGCATGCCGCCCGCGGATAGCGCAATGAATATGAGGACTCGAATCGGGTACGGTATGCGATGGATAAAGTACGGCGCAATGAGCTTGGTGAAGAAGGACGGCACGACATCGGCGAGGAGGACGACGCCCTTCGGGAGCGAGCCGACAAGGTCTTGGGCGGCGGACAGGATGATGACGTAGAGGACATTGTTGATGAGGCCTGCGACGACATGGTCAGCTGGTATGTCGTGTCGAAGACGATGGCTGAACAAATCGAGAATGCGCACCGAGCAGCCAGAAGGCGACGACGACCCTCATGTTGGGATGCTTGACCAAGCTGTTGATCCTGGCGCTGTAGACAGCCCAGGACGACGAGGGAGAGCCGGGCATGGGGAGGAGCCCGGAGGAGGACGGGGAGCGGCTCGGCATTCTATGTCAGGGTCGAATAGTATGGATCATGATCAAGAGAAGAGCATTCCGATTTGAGCGTGGTGATGGAGCGCTGTCTTGCGCGGGTTGCAGTGTTGGAGCAGGAGTGCAAGTACGGGGAGAGGTAGGTAGCTGACGTGGGTCACGCGAGGTTTGGAGGATGTCACAGATAAGGTAAGCATCACGATAAGACTCGGAGCAATGACGCAGCCATTTTCTTAGTACTAGTAAATGATGCTCATCTCATCATATCATAACCATCAATTGCTACTATTATTACAATACACTACACTTCCATTGATTTCATTTCGTTTCATTTTTTTTCTCTTTTGATTTCATTCTCATCATTCACTCATCCCGGTGAATGTTGGACGTATACCCCTCCGTCTCCCGACTCGCCTGCGTCACGCTCTCAGGCGCAACCCAGCCCTCGGCCGAGATGCTGTCCGGCACGCTCTCAGGCGCATAATAATCGCTGCCCTTGTACTGCGAGCCTCCCGGGCCCGGCGGGTTCTTTCCGACGTTTGCCCTCGACGCGGCCTGTCCCTGCGTGAGAATGTCGTTGCTGTTGAGGCCCTGCGTCTCGGACATGCGGGCATTGACGACGTCGCGGTCGTTTTGGCCGGGCTGTTGGGCGTATGACTCGGCAATCTTGTCTTCGGGACCTCCTTGGCCTTCGTACAGATGGCCTCTAGCTTGTCTGTGAAGCAGTTAATATCTGGCTATAGTTTGAGAGGCATGGAAACAATGACACTAACCTTCCACGAGCATCGAGGTCTCCTCCTTCACCAGGAGGGATACGCTTGTTGTAGCCCCTGTTTGTGCTCAAGTCGTCCCCGTACGCAACGTTGGCAGACTCAAACTTCTTCTCCACGTTGGTGTCGACGCCGGCGTCATTGTTTGCTGAAGGACGGGCAGCGCCGGTCTTGGCCTGGTAAGTGTTGAGGTCGGCCTCAGCCTGGCGAGAGATTTCTTCGTAGTTGGACATTTTGGTGTGTTTGGCGTTGATGATCTTGGGTGTCTATGCAGTCGGGTGGTGATGAGTAGGTTGTATTAGATGACTTGCAATCTGATTGAAGACTTGCTCATCGTCGAGGAGCAGCAGCAGCATTTATAGATGCTGGAGGGCAGCAATGTCATCTCTATGACCTCAGATCAACGCCGTATGATTTCATCGCTCCCACCATGGCGAACATTTGTGGACCAGGACTGTTGATACATACCAAAAGAGACAATCAATCGAGATGGATTCCAGGAAAATCTGGCTCATCACATCTGACACCGGAAGCTTCCATTTTCTCTCCGGCAACTTCACGTTGATGAACATGACCGTGGCTGAATGATGCGATTGAATTGTAGAATGATCGTCGCCTGCGTATGTACATGCAGTGCCGTACCGCAACCCGTCATCCTGCAGCGTCTGTGTCAACACATAGTAATCATCAATCGAGATACTGGATGTTCAGTCTATACCTGAGCAATGCAAATAATCACTTCAAGAAACATTACTATCGATACAAACATCTTGAGAGGCGATGCTCACTTATAGTCCAAGTCCGTATTAGCCCGGCAAATCCCCGGCCGATATTGACGATATCGCAATCGCAAAGTTGCGCCTCTCTCTTTTTACACCCACCTCACTATCAAAAAATCCATCCACCTCCGAACCAACCCACTCCAGACCATACAGAACCCGGAATCTGATCTCTAATTCGCCATTGAACGAATCGCATCGACTCCCACAAACCTTGGGACCTACTATAGCATACAGAATGGCAGAAGACGCTTGTCCAGTCGACCACAAAACCCGCGACGCCTGGCTCGCCCAAGCCCGCGCAGCCGAAGCTTCCAAGAACCAGACAAGCTCAACCTCAACCTCACAACCATCCCAATGCCCAGTCGACCACTCCTCCACCAAACCATCATCATCATCATCATGGACCAAGACAATCTCCTCCTACATCTGGTCCAACCCGCCCTCCGAACAACCACCATCACCACCGCCATCAACCCTACCCGCCAACCACCCCGCGATACCCTCAACGCCACGCCCATCCTCCACCCTCGAAACCTCCCGCATCACCTCCTCCATCCCCCGCTCCTTCACCCCCTTGGACGAAACATGCCCCGTCGACCACGGCGCTTCCGCAAACCCGCCCTCCAACGCCGAGATCGAGTCCGGCGCCGACGCCGCCTCGGGCAACTGGGTCTACCCTTCCGAAAAGATGTTCTTCGAAGCCATGAAGCGCAAGGGCTACGACGCGCGCGAGGTCGACATGAAGACCGTCGTGCCCATCCACAACGCCGTCAACGAGCGCGCCTGGCAGCAGATTAAGGAGTGGGAGGCGCCCTATCTGGCTGGGTCAAAGTATGTCTTTGCCTCTTGTCATTCTTCCCTCTTCTTATCACAAGAAAACCTCCCCTCACTCCCACATCCTATATATACCCTGCCCCCTAGATGAACCTCTTCTTTCTCATATAGACTGCGATGATTCTTCCTCCCAGTACCATGAAGAGAAAACGCTAACAAGAACGCAGATGCTCCGGCCCCAAACTCGCCTCCTTCGCCAACAAAAGCACCCGCATGACCCCAACCGCCCGCATCAACACCATCCTCGGCTACACCGCGCCCTTTGACCGCCACGACTGGGTCATTGACCGCTGCGGCGTCCGCGTCGACTACGTCATTGATTTCTATGCCGGCCGCCCTGGCGGTACGACCGGAGCACCTAGCTTCTATCTTGATGTGAGGCCCAAGCTGAATACCTTGGAGGGCGTCAAGATGAGGGTGATGCGGTGGACGGGGTTGGCGTGAGGTGAATAGAGAGGTAGACGATGAAGGAGGATAACAGGGGTAAATGTATGATACGATTTATGGCTGTTGTTGAAAAGAGAAACGGCGTTTTGTTGGAGGGAAATGTCCTGCATTTGACATATAGATAGACTGGGCCGGTATGGAGGCTCTTGTACAATACAATCTCCCGCACGAACTACATTGCGAGAGGCTCTCTCCTGCCACTTGTTTCAAGTCAATGATGAATTCGTAGCATCATTCGATGCTTGCCTTGCTCTCTGTGTAACTAACTCTCCTCTCTAGGAACCCATTCATAGCACAAGGTTAACACCTTTAGGAAACCCATGTCCACCGTCCATTCTCACTCCCAGTCATAGCCCGCTGGGAGACAGCCGAACAACATCCTTGAGATCATCTAGAAGCTTGCTAAAGTCGCCTCTTTCGAACCTGCAGCCGAACAGGAGCCTTCGTCTCCAACGCCTGCGTATCAGCGCTCCATCCCTGCCGCTTCAACTGCTCCAAAAGGTCCTCGCTTTTGTACCGCGGCACAAACTCGCTGTCCCTATCCTTGCCCGCGATGCTAAACTTCCTGCCATTGCCCTCGACGCCGGCATCGCAAAACAGCTCATCCAGCTTCTGCGTGTAGGCACCGCCATTGTCCATCAGCCACGCAATCTCCATGGCAGCGAACCAGGCGAGCACGGCATCCATCGGACTGGCTCCGTCCCAGAGCAGCAGCTTGATGCGGGTGAGGCGACCGGGGACGCGAGAGCAGATGAAGCGGGTGTGCATGGCGCCGTCGACAATGATGAGCTTCTCGTGGGCATCGGAGCAGCTCATGGCGTGGCTGTAGCTCTCGGCGAACTCGAGGTGGACGACCTCCTTCCCTTGAGCATTGCGGATGGCAGGGCTCCAGAAGATGATGCTTTCTCTGTTGGCAACCTGCTCGGGGGAAAGCACCTTGCCGCTCTTGAGATACTCCTCGAACAAGATGGTCGCTCTCTGTCGGTTGAAGGTGTTCATGCACACGCTGCGAACGCCGAGGTAGTTCATGCCAAGGTGGGCAAGGACGAGGACAATCATTAAGAGCACAACGGCTGAGTGATTCTCAACCGTCTTGACCACCAGCGTTCCCACAAGCAGGCCGATCAATCCCACGGCCGTCTCCTGGCTGGCCTCTTTTGCGTTGAGTTCCGCGAGATTGTCCTGTCTTGCAAAGTGCACACTAAGCGCCGCCTTGCTGGCACCGGCAGCAACACCGCACAACGCTCGAAGTGCTTCGCCCGTGCTGAGCGCAACGACTTTGCCCCAGGAACCCAGGTACGGACTGTAGAGCTCCAGGAAGAATGCGGTGTCGTTGAACAAATCTGCCAGGAACCGGTAGCGCTTTGCGTCCGGCTCGATGCGAAGGCCAAAGCGGTGCGCAAACACGATTGTGGCAATACGGGACATGGCGTCCTTGAGGATGGTGAGCAACAGGGCAAACGTCGCAGAGGACGAAGCGTCTCCAACGCCTAGGCCTTGCAGCAGGGCGCGATTGGCAAGAAGAGAGCTGATGGTCGAGAAGAAGGCCTGGAGAGAGTCAAAGAACTGGTACGAAAGGTAGTCCTTGGAGACGGAGTGCGGGAAGCCGACGGGGAGGAACGAGTCGAAGAGGGCCTTGCGCCATTCGCGGACTGAGCGGGAGAAGAAGCTGTTGGACCTGCGCCTGAGCTGGATCTGCACCAAAGATTAGAGATGTGATGATGGGTTTAAGCAAAGGGGGGAATGCTTACAGGCAGGACGTGGCCGTCGTGGGCGTGAAGCCACCGCTGGACAACGTGGCCAGACTTGTCGAGCTCTATGATGTCGACATCGTTGCCCCAGGCGAGGAGATCTGTAATCTTGTCCACCTGGGCTTCTTCCGACTCCTGATGTGCGGCCATCGTATTCGTGCTGAGGCGAGATTCCGTCCGCGTTTAGATCACAGGTGCAGCAGCGTGGGCGATGATGTCGAGCGGTGCAAACATAGGTGGTGCTGATGGTGATTGCGCCTGGATTGATAGAGAAGAAGGAACGGCGAAGTCAAGATAAAAGAGAGACAGAATTTGACAGGATCAAGTCTAGGAAGAAAAAGTGCAGTGACTTTTGGCTTAGGGCTGCAGTGAATGCAAAGGGTTGGATGTTGCAAAAGGAAGCTTGTCAGCGAAGCGTTGAGGCGATTGTGCGAGGCAGGTGAATCACAAGCGGCAGCTTTGACCGAACCTGAACCTGCCCGACCTGGAGCAGCATCTGCAAGGTACTACCTTATGGGTAAATGAGACAAACAATGCGTCATGATCCGTTTCTTCAATCGATCTATATGTAGGTAGGTATTTGACACATTAACACTTGATATATATATATTTTCCGCCAGTATACAATTACTGCTCACATCCAAACGCCCCCATTCTATGCTTCGCTTCGCTTCTATCGCTTCACAGGCGTGCCGTCCTCGGCAACCAGAAACTCGTCCGTCTTCTGGGGACCCTCTCCGACGCCGGTCATGATGACTCGGCTGACGCCCTCCTTGATCGTGGCGGCGATGCCCTCATCCAGATTGACAGTGTTGTTCGCCGCGCTGGCAGCCTTCCAGCCATCGGCAGTGGCCAGGATCGGGGCAAAAGCGCCCAACACCGTCGCCGCATCCTCCTCCTGGTAGTAGACAACGCAGTTGGGGCCGGCATCAAAGGTGTAGGCAGCGACCGTCTTGCCGGCCTGGGCGTTGATGGCCTCGACCGCGCGAATGGCCGCCTTGGACACGTCGTTCATGTAGAAGATGGGAGGGTAGGTGTCGGCGCAGGTGGCGTGGAACGAGTTGGAGTCGCGCATGGTGACCTCGGCGAACTGGGGGAAGTTGCGGTTCTTGATGGCGTCCTCCATCAGGGCCATGTTGGCGGGCACGACGGTGGCTATCCTCTCCTTGAAGAGGCCCGACGTCGCGACGGTCTGCTGCATGCCCGAGGTCGACGAGACGCCCTTCTTGGCGGCGCTGACGACCAGGATCAGCGCGCGCATGCTCGGCCAGTGGGAGGCGGGGGCGACCAGGTCGGCCATGGAGTCGCTGCCGTCCTCCTTCTCGCCCATTCTCCAGGCGACATAGCCGCCGAACAAGCTGCGGCAGGCGGAGCCGGAGCCCTGGCGGGCAATGAGGGACAGCTCCGAGGGGGGGTCGGGGAGCTCGTAGAGGTTGGCAATGGCCTGGACGAGGGCGGCAAAGCCGGCGGCGGACGATGCCAGACCGGCAGCCGTGGGGAAGTTGTTCTCGGACACGATTCTCAGGGGAAAGGTCGACAGCTTGGGCAGCGAGTCGTCGGCGGCCTCGAGGGCGGCGCGGCGGGCACGCAGCTCACGGAAGCAGGCCTGGGTTCGCGCGCCCGAGATGTCGGAGGGCTCGCCGTTGAGCAGCAGGCTGTCGTCGCCGGTGTAGGAGGGGGAGCAGGAGGCGGTGGTCAGGGTGCGGAGGTCGTTTTGGGAGAGGGTCACGGAGAGGGAGCTGTTGGTGGGGAGGTTGAGCTTTGCATCGCGTTTGCCCCAGTACCTGAAGCATTGACGTTAGCACTTGATTCTCTGGGTTTATTCTCGTGTGATAGCTGATTTTAGGAGGCTCAATTGCTGGACGTACTTGACAACGGCAATGTTGACGGGAGCCGTGGTGCTGGCGCGGTAGACCTTTGTGTCTGCCATGGTGATGATGGTGGTTTGGAGGGGTGAATTCGATTCGCTGCGACAAGAGGGGCTGAACTGGCAGATGGTTCAGATGTTATACTCTGCACTTTTTGTATTCAAGAAGCTGAGTACAGGGGGGGGATTATGGCAACGAGGCCCTGGCAGAGGTGGAAGAAGGAGAAGATGGAATGAAGAAGAGAGGTGGTGATAGCACAGATTAAGGTACCGCAAATGAAATTGAGCGTTGGGCGCAAAGGCGTCGAACTGTCACCCGTACTTTTACACCGCCCAGCACCGCACCAACCAGAGCAGCGAGACCCCACGCTAAGGCGGTACCGGCTACTTGGCCTCCAAACTGTCCATTTCTCCAAGATATCGGCGCCAATCTCAAGAAGAAAAAAAAGACCCTTATGATCCCCCTTCAGAGCGCCAACGGGAGAGAGAACGCAGCAGACGCTCGTTTTCGGCTCGTGGGCGCGGGGCTGGAGCTGCAACCCCCACCACCAGAGCGGGAGCGGGAAGGGGTCTGGCCTTGCATGGATACGAGTACGAGCGCCTTACTGACCTCAATTGCTGACCAACTACATGTAGGCACCTGGAGTTGTCATCTCCTGTGCAACCCTTGCCTTATATGAAGTTGTAGTTGGAACGATGGTTGAATCAGTTGGGTGCAATCCGTAGAAGATGCGGTCATGACCAGATGCCCATCTTCACTGAGCTGGCGGGATCGTGTGGGTGTTGTGGTCAGAGCCAACGTGAGCTGATACAACGCTGCAGAGGTCCAGTACTCTCAAGAGACAAGCTCTCATCCGAGATATACATCTTGAGCGTGGACAATTTGTGTTGACGTATCAGTGCCTTGATTAAGCTGTCTATTGGCATAAGTCTACTCATGCTGGACATTGGGTCAGAAAGTCGGATGGTCCGAGAGAGGGCTTGTCCTACAAACAGTGATGTGAAACTTCAGAAGCATGAAAAGTAAAGAGGGGCCTCTCCAGAGAGGAAGAAAGAGAAATATATTCAAGAAGAAGAACCTACCAGATTGATTCCTTCTGAGTCGCCAACGCTGGATATCGCATTTGGGCAGCATAACTGACAAAGCACACGTTCAAGTAGAGACAAGATTCGCTGGGTATCAATCTATTCAAGCTTCTAAAACACCGCTGAAGCCGTAAAATCTGCGCTTGACACCAATCCAAAATATCCAAATCCCACAAAATAACCAGGGTATCAATTTTCCATAGACTCCAAATACCACCATCCCAATCTCAGTCCCAGTCCCATATCACCTCACATGGCGATCAAGTCTGAGCTTTCTGCAAAGACATAACTGGCCTCGTCCGGCTCAGACTCCTCCCCTCCCTCCGGGTGTGCGAGGTAACCATCGCTATCCACCTCACCTCCAACCTCGCTCCGAAAGTGCTCAGACTCTTCTCCCTCCGAGTCCTCACCGTCTGCGTTCTCCGCAGTCTCTCTATTCACCTGTGGCCCCTCTCCTGGAGCCCATCGGCCCGGGCCCTCCCACCCAGCATCGAGAATCTCGAGCTCTTCGGGGGTGAATTCCGCTCGATAGAGCAGCTTCTCATCAGGTCCGTTGGGCATGAACGAGACCCGGATCCTGTTGTTCTTGACCATGTGGAGATTCGGCAGCCCCAGGCACCTGAATCGACCCGTGATGAGGGAAGTATTCCACTCGTCCAACTGCTCGGCCGCAGCGTCATCCCCCATGACGATGGTGTTGAGGATGCACTGTTTCATGAACTTCAAGAATTCCTTGAACTGCTCAATCTGCTGCTTGTTCCAGCGCTTGTGGTACCTCTTGGCCTGGACCCAGAGCCAGACGTCCATGGGGTCGCTGCCGGCCATCCACTCAATGGCGCCCGAGAATCGCTGCCAGGTGGTGTACCGGTGCTCTCTGACCCTCTCGACCAGGTTGAAAAGGTCCTCGTCGCCGGTGCGAATGGCCTCGTCCCGCAGCTGGTACTGGTAGCGTCGAATCTGATGCTCGACGGTGTAGTTGAACGTCTCCATGTTTTTGCGCTCGCCGAGGGCCGGGACGTTGCTGCCGTAGTACTCCCACTTGAAGGGGGTGCCGGCGGAGGTCCTCTCGTCCTGGTAGATTTTGAAGTCGAGCTCCGGCTTGGCCTTTTTGCGCGGGCTAAGGCGGTACTCTCCCTGGCTATAGCGGGAGTGCTGGGGCTGAGGCCGAGACTGCTGCTGCTGGGAACGCCTGCTGCGGCGCGTGCTGGGCCCAGGGAGGTTGGCGGGGAGGAGACTCGGGTCGTTCTCCTTGTTGTCGTGGCCGAGACTCTCGACGTCTTCGTCATGGTCGTCTTCGGCGTCGGGGGCCTCCGTAACCCCATTGGTGGCGGAGTCTTGTGGCCATCGGCCAAAGGGACGTGCGAATTCCATGGCGCCCATGGTGAAGTTGAGGTGACCCCCGAAGGTGTTGATGTTGTGATCCTCACGAGCAGGCATGGTGACAGTCGCGTGGGATGTGGGTCGTAGAGTGACCAGAGTGTGAAATGGGGGGAGGATAAATGTCCGTAGACTGTGTGGACGTGGAGGATGCTGTTGTGAGGCCAAAAGTTGGACTCAAGCTGTATACGATGGGTAGTCGAAGGTATCCAGCGTGTGTACGAGTGTCGAAGTGATAAAGCGTGAGGAAGAAAGTTGGTAAGAGCTTGTATATCTTCGAGACTGGATACGAACAGAGTTGACTGGGAAGAAACAAGATTAAGAAAAAGTAGCACAGGGGCTCAGGGCTTTAAGTAGTCTTTGGAGAATGGCTACTCGACGAGGCGTTGTTTACTGAGAATCAGCTAGTTCTGGGCTGTTGCACTGCCAGCAGCTGTGGCTCAAGCCAAAATGAGGCTCAAGGACGCCTCGAGAAATTGACTTTCTCTAAATGAAGGAAAATTAGGAGCATATGGACCGTGAGTATATACCAGAGTGGTCGTTATCATACAGTGAGGCGTGTCGCAGTGGGAGCTACCTGTCGTGGTGGTGACAGATCGAGGTTAGGCCTCATCGCCAGCGCCACCACCATCCTCAAACACTGCACCAGGACCAAACGCTGTTGCAAACCTACGAGACATGGCCTCATCATTGATAGCAAACACTATGTCCAAATCATCATAAACTTCAGCCCCATGGGTTCGTCTGGCAGGAGGCCCTAGAAGTACCCTCTTCCAGGCAGACGCAATCTCCTCGACGGGATTCCCGTACGCACCACAGCCCCAAGCCCCCAAAACAACTCGGTGGATATGCTTCGCCCTAAGGATACGCATCACGCAACGCATTTTGGCGAGTACCATGTCCCGATCTTTTTGCTCAGAGTAGACCAGCTCTCCTTGTTGATTTGTTTCAGTGTCTGGGAGGCGTAGCATGGCAGCAGTGACCACGTCAATGAAGAACTGATTCACTGGCGTCAAGGCCAATGGGTCCTCGTCCCAGGTTTTGCAGACCAGGACGTCGGGCGTGTAGACAGCGCTCACTTCAGGGAGACGGTAAAACTCATCAAGGAGAGACGGATACAGCGTAGTTCGCGAGCACAGCCATTCCTCCTGCGATGTTGCTCCTGTGAGGACACCGCCGCCGGGCCGAAGAGGAGACGCCATATTGAGAATGGCAACCCGAGACGGAGCAAGCTTTGACAGCCTGTGTGCCGCCTCTAGGGTGTCAACGGGCCAGATCCGAATGGAACTCGGGAGTGATCTGCCGGGAGGACCCTGAGATGCCGGAAGTACTAGACGGACATGGTCCGGCTGATTGGCCAACTCTAAGCTTGTGGCTGCTGCAAGGGTCCTAAGGGGTTCACGAGGGGGGTTTACAATCAGCTGTGCGCTCTCGACTCCTCTCCTGGCTCTGCTATTGGATCTGAGAACCGCCGGAAGCTTCTTGTTGAGAAAGGCCTTGGCTGCTTTGGCTCGCTGGTCTCTGGACGGGCCCATGTCAAGGTTTAGGGCTGGAGGTTGGAGGGATAAGGTAGCTCCTCGATCTGGGAACGTCCTATCAGGACAGTGACTCTCTTGTAATCGAGTTTGTGTACACGGAACTAGTCCGTCCAAGTAAAGAGTGGCTGATGATTGCCATGGCAACAGACCAGATTCAGGGTATCGCTGAAGCCTCAAAGTGTCAAGGCTGGTGGAGGTGCTGATGGTTAGAGATGAAGCCATGGCGGAACGAAGCGCTTTGGGCTGTGAGGCGACATGCCATTGGCTGCCACTCCATTTGTCAGCGTCTCTCTAGGCTGCGCAACAGAATGAGTTTCTTGGTACAATTGAAGGTACAAGTGTACAAGGTACGAGGCACAAGCTGAAACAAGATCGTCAGTGAGGCTCATGACGTCATGATTTAGTGCTTGAGGAAGCAGGTTTGGCTTCATCTACTACTACCTCTGTGTACTTGTCCAGGTAGTTGTTCAGCTCTTTGTCTTTTGTTTACGTGCGCTTTTCATTGTGCCCAAAAGACTCTTCAAAAGCCTCAATTCGCTCATAAAAACTTTAATGATACTTTTTGTCTCACGAATGAGCGACTGGTAGCGCAATGTTGGCTCCTTGTGCCGGTGCGAGAGCGGCGCTGCGCGTCCTGCCACCAATCTCGAGGGCACAGGGGCTGAGGCCGAGGTCGCTGCCACTGCTCAGACGGACATGTTCACCATCTAGCCATCCGTTCAGCGTCCCGTCAAGGCTGTTTTCAATATCCCAGAGCGTGCGAGACGACGAAGCCACGAAAAAGGCGAAGCGACTGCACGAAAAGGCCGACGATGAGACGGACCAAGTTGCCAAGCGCCAGGGAGCCCAAAAGAAGGCCGACGACAGGCCCTGGCATCGAGAGAGTGGGAGCAAGCAGTACAAGGTGACGTCGCCCGATCCCTCGGGAGGTGACGAGTCCAAAGGTAGGTTTATTTGTTGACGCCAACTCTGTCTGATTTCTAGGCCTTTATGGATGATGATTGACCATCGGACACGATAGGGAGACTCTTGACGACGCCCACACGCTTGCTCAAGCTTATCCTGCCCATACCGTTCCATCCCGAGCAACAAACCATCAACGAATCCGAGGAAGAGAGAAAGAGCCACGAGAAGAATGGCAGAAGGACAGAGGCCCTGGCATTGTTGGTACATCCCCAACAGCCGCTATCCTACCTCGAGCGCCTGATACAGGCGGAGATACCCCCCCTGAAAGTCAATGGGCGCGAGAAGCTTCCCGACATCATCTTCCGAGCCGAAGCGGACCACGAAGAAGCCTCAAGCAGATCCGGCGAGGAGGGGAGGAGCAACGTGGCGTCGTACTCGGGTCTCGGCCGCGAGGGTCCTGCTCACGACAGCGAGGCGAACTGGGTGCGATGGAGCGGCAGCACCGAAGTGGGCGACTTTATCCGGGACGCAGCGCGCGGCAGAGAATTTGCCATCAACATCGAGGGCTACAACAAGGAGCTGCGGGTGGCGGTGCCCAGCTTCAAGGATCGGACGTACTACATGCGGCTGCAGCTGCGGCGCATGTCCAAGGAGATTGACGAAATGGCCAAGATCAAGGCCGAGTGCGACCTGGTCGCCCACAAGGGGGCTCACCGTCTGGCGCAGGGCGGATTCGCGGCCCTGGCGAGCTGGTGGTGTGTCGTCTACTACGTGACGTTTCACACGGACTTTGGATGGGATCTGGTCGAGCCGATTACTTACCTGGCTGGGCTGACGACGATCATGGGGGGTTACCTGTGGTTCCTGTTCATCAGCCGGGATCTGAGCTACAAGGCGGCGATGAACGTGACGGTGTCGAGGAGGCAGCATGCGCTGTATCAGGAGCGAGGGTTTGATCCGCAAAAGTGGGAGCACCTTTTGCACGAGGCGAATGCACTGCGACGAGAGATTAAGGCCGTGGCGATGGAGTATGGCGTCGAATGGGACGAGATGAAAGATTTGGGCGGGAAGCAGGTGAAGAAGGTGTTGGAGAAGGAGAAGAATGGGAAGAAGGACCAGGTGGAGGAGGAGGAGGATGAGGAGGATGTGCACGTGGAGAAGAAGAGCAGGGAGGAACGGGAGCTGAACAAGGGAGAGTGAGATGCTTGTCATGTCAACAGCTGAACAAGGCGGAGTGAGTGCTTGTCATTTAAGCAACTGAACAAGGCGGAGTCAGGTATCCGTTCATGTCGGTAAGAGCAGCTGAAGATGGTGGATTAAGGGCTTCGTGTACATGTAGATTGCATCTGTCATGGCGTTGAAAGCGTGTAGAAGGGAAGGGTTTTTGGGCGGGTTATTACTGGTGGTTTAGGTAGAGGAGCGGGCGGGCAATAAACCGGACAAGCAGCAATTGTGATTTTGCGAATATTCCTGTACAATGCAAGTATCACTGCTTCTATTTTCAATAATTTCTGGTCAATCAAGCAATCAAGCATCTACTTCATCTACTGACTGTCATGATGACCATATCATTCAATACCTAAATACATAGAATAGATGATCCGGTGAACCGAGCCTCGTCCTGCCTGCCTGCCTACCTAACTGCTAGCGTTGCCACAATCAGCTGTCGCTCCCCAGACAATGGCACTATTGCTTGGTTCAAGGTCCTGATCGAACCATGGCCCCATCAGCTTGTCCGTCCTGTTCGTCACGAGCAGATGAAGAAGAAAGTGGTTGCTTTGAAATTCCACACATTCCAGAACCAGAACGATTTGTCTATGTATATGCAAGACATTTGATGGCATCCATTGAATGGCATTCCATCCCACAGTAATACATAGCACGAGAGTCTCCGACTTACACGCATCAATACCTGGAACTTCCTAGTAATGATATAAGACCTGGAACTAAGCCAATCAGCCTCTTCTCATTAGCACCTTACATAGCTCCAGCCTTATTATTCTGCTGCAGCTCTTTAAGCTCTTTTGCCCAATCCCAGCTCAACGGCGTCTCTCTCTCTCCTCTTCTCTCTCTCCTCTCTTCATTCTGCCTTCATTCAGCTCTCATCGATACCCCGCCCCCGCCCTGCTCTCAAAAGCTGTACATAGCTCTTCCCCACTCCACATGTCATACTGCTATCGCTGAGGCTATCGGTTCTCCATCCTTGCAAAAGAGAGCTACGATAACGCCTTGTCTTTTTTCTTCTTGCAACGTCATTCTTGCCATCACCATCATCTTCTTTTGCCTCTTCTTCTTCTTCTTTCTCAGCCTCTTCTTCTTCCTCTTCATCCATAGCATACAGTACTTCATACCCCCATCACGATGCCCCCCCAGCTCCTCCATCTCCCCGATGGCCAGACCTTCACCGTCACCCCCGTCTTCGCCGGCCTCGGCTTCAAGAGCCACGAGATGAACATGCATCCCAACGCCTTCCCCGTCGGCTGGAACGTCGTCCTGCAGACTGAGGAAGAGGTCGAATCCCGCCTTGACGACGACAATGACGACGACGACGACGATGACGACGATGACGAAGACGAAGACGAAGAACCGCCCTCCCCTCTCTCGCCCTCCCGCAAGAAGACGCGCGTCCATCCCTTCTCCCGCCCGACGCTGCAAAACGACGCCCTCTTCATCTCGTCCATCTCGAACCCGTCCAACTCGGACTTCAAGCCGGCCGCCAGCCCGACGCGGCAGATCGCCATGATGCTGTGGGTGACGCTCTACTGGTACTTCCACCAGCCCGAGCCCGACCGCAAGCTGCGCACCGCCGCCAGCAAGGACACGCCCGACAGCGCAAAGCCCGTCGGCGAGTGGAAGATCAACATCAAGCGCGAGGGCGTGCTGCGCGGCCGCAACCTGATCCCCAAGCTGGAGCGCATGGGGCTCATCACCGCCGAGGACCCCTCGTGCGGCACGGGGCTCGACGATGCCGGCGCTGAGTGGGCGCGCATGTTTGTCTCGCGCCGCATGTTCTGGCAGATCCCGGGCCATCTGTTCCTCTTCACGCTGCAGCCCAACCACAACAAGATGAACTCGTCCGTGCCGGGTTCGCCCGTGGTTAGCCGCCCGAGCTCTCCCGTGCGCGGCGGCGAGGGCTCCCGAACGCCGTATCTGTCCATGGACGGCTTTGCGCGCCTCGACAGCGACCTGCCGGGCGGGCCGACGCCGACGAGCGTTCCTCATGCTCCCGTGGTGCCCATAGGGCCCTTCTACTCGACTTCGCATCTCCCGACCTACTTCCCCCCCCTGACGCTCCAGTACACGGCCACAGACGGCGTGCGACACCCCGTGCGGTCGAAGCCCCCTAGGATGGGCGAGATCTTCTACTCGCGCTTCATCCCCAGCGTCAACCAGTACCTCTCCTTCCGCGTCGCCTCCACGTCGACGCACCCCGTCCCTTACCTCGGCCCCGTGGGCGGCAGAGCCCCCGAGCACACGCACCTCGCCCAGCTGACCGACGCCCAGCTCCTGCAGACGTGGATGTCCAAGCCCCGCGTCAGCGAGTTCTGGGGCGAGTACAAGCCGGGCTTCCTCGAGGGCGTCCTGCGGCAGCGGCACTCGTTCCCGGCCATTGCGCTGTGGAACGGCATCCCCTTTGGCTACGTCGAGATCTACTGGGTCAAGGAGGACATCCTGGGCCGGCACCTGGCCAACGGCGCGGGGGACTTTGATCGCGGCTTGCATGTCTTTGTTGGCGAGGAGTGGGCGAGGGGCAGGGTGCCTGTGTGGTTGACGAGCTTGGTGCAGTGGTGCTTTCTGAACGATAATCGGACCATGAGCGTTTGCTTGGAGCCGAGGGTTGATAATAAGCGGTATGTCCTTGCTGATGTCGTCTGGTCCCTTTTATTTGTTCTTTTGGGTTCTCTCGCTAACTGGCGTTTTGTGTGATAGCATGTTGCGGCATCTGGACGAGGCGGGCTTTGGCAAGGAGAGGCAGATTTCGTTTCCGCATAAGCAGGCGTGGTTGGTCAGGCTATGGCGCGAGGCGTGGGAGGGCCCGGCATTCTGAGGAGGAGCAAAGAAGAAGAAAGAAGGAAATGAAATGGAAGTATAAACTATGATGATAGTATGAGCGAGTAGCAGGAGATACCCCCCTTATTCATCTTTTTTATTCGTCGAGGGAAGAGGAAGCGTATGAGACTTTTTGTGAGAGTGGGAGTAGGTAAGGTAGTAGTGTACAGACACGATATTTACGCATCAATGACAAGACACGAAGCATTATCGGATCTGTGGTTCACCGTCATCACATCCACTGGCGTAGCAGAGTGCATGTTCCCAATGTTCAGTGTTGAGTGTTCAAGTCCAATACAATCTCTTGTCATTTTTGATGGAGATAGCCATCCCATAATATCCCAGCCCTGATTCAACCATATACCCCGCCCTACGCCTCCCTCACCAGATGTTTTCTAGTTAATTGGTTTTACACATACACACACAATGAAAGAAACCCACAGAAGAAAGAAGGGAAAAAAAAAAATCCATCAGAGAATGACCCGGCCCCAAATGCCTCCTCCCCCCCTTCTTAACCAACCCATCTACGGGCGCTGCGGAACATCCTCAGCCAAGGCCCAAACTCGCCCCATTCCTCCAGCATCTCGGGAGGAGCGTAGCTCGTAATGTCCGCCATAATGGTCCGCTCGGGATGCGGCATCATGGCCACGACGCGCCCGTCGGGGCTCGCCACGCCGGCCACGCCCATCGGGCTGCCGTTGGGGTTGTACGGGTACTGCTCCGTCACGTTGCCCCGGTTGTCAATGTACTGCAGCGGAATCATCTTGGCCTCGGTCAGCGCCTGCAGCGAGTTGGGCGACGCGAACTTGGCGCGGCCCTCGCCGTGGGACACGACAATGGGGAGCTCTGAGCCGTCCATGCCGTGGAAGAAGACGGACGGCTTGGACTTGTCGACGTGCACCTTGACCATGCTGTAGCGCGCCTCGAACTGCTGGCTCATGTTGTCCACAAAGTTGGGCCAGTCCTGGGCGCCGGGGATCAGGTCCTTGAGCCTCGTCAGCATCTGGCAGCCGTTGCAGACGCCCAGCGCAAACGTGTCGGGGCGCTTGAAGAAGGCCGCAAACTCCCGGCGCGTGCTGTCGTGCATCAGGATCGACTTGGCCCAGCCCTGGCCGGCTCCCAGCACGTCACCGTACGAGAAGCCGCCGGGCGCTGCCAGACCCGTGAAGTCGGCCAGAGACCGGCCATCCAGAACATCCGTCATGTGGACGTCAATGGGCTCGAAGCCGGCCGCCTTGAAGGCGTAGGCCAGCTCGGCGTAGCCGTTGACGCCCTGCTCGCGGAGAATGGCAACGCGGGGGATTCTTCCAAAGAAGCCGGTGATGGACGACGTGAGGGGGAGGATGTTCTCGGCTGGTGAGAACGACAGCTTGTACGTGATACCGGGATCCGCAGAGTCGGCAATCGTGGAGTACTCGGACTCGGCGCACGCAGAGTTGTCTCGGAGCTTCTGCATCTCGTACGACGTCTTGGACCACCACTGCTGCATCTCGGTCCGGTCGAGCGTGGCAAACGTCGTGCCTCCGTGGCGGATGTTGAGGTTCTGCTTAGAAGTCGCCCGGACCACGCCAAACTTGCGAATCAGACCGGCCGGAGGGCCGCAGGTGGCGAAGCATCGCTTGAAGTTCATCTCGTCCTCGGTTCGGATCTGGAACACGGCGCCAAGCTCTTCGTTGAACATGGCCTCGATGATGTCCTCGGGCTTGCCCGACTTGGCGATGCCGTCCATCATCATGTCGACGCCGCAGCGGCCGGCAAACATCATCTCAGCCACGGTAGTGACGAGACCACCGTCGGATCGGTCGTGGTAGGCCAGGACAACGCCGCTTCGGTGCAGCTGGGACAGGGCGTCAAAGTAGTCCGTGATGAGATCAAAGTTCTTCATGTCGGGCGCCTTGTCGCCAACGGCGCCGAGAGACTGCGCGAGCGCCGAGCCGCCCATGGCCCTTCGTCCCTCTGCGAGGTCGACAAACATGAGCGACGTCTCGCCCACATCTTCCACCCGACGCAGCTGGGGCGTCCAGGTGCTGCGGATGTCGCGGACGGCCGAAAAGGCAGAAATGACCACCGAGACGGGGGCTGTGACGCTCTTTGAGACCTCGCCATCCTTCCATGACGTCTTCATCGAGGTGGAGTCCTTGCCGACGGGGATGCTGACTCGGAGCCTGGTGCACATCTCCATGGCGGCTCGGACGGCTTCGTACAGGGCAGCTCCCTCACCGGCGTGGTTGACGGCCGCCATCCAGTTGGCCGAGAGCTTCACGCGGCGCAGATCGCCCGTGACATCGGCAGCGCCAATGTTCATCAGACTCTCGGCAATGGCCATTCTGGCCGAGGCAGCAGGGTCAATCAGAGCAAGCGTGGGCTTCTCGCCCATGGCCATGGCCTCACCCGTCTCCTGCTTGGTACCGATGTGGAACGACGTGGCTGTCACCGCAACGTCGGCAACCGGTGTCTGCCAGGGGCCAACCATCTGGTCACGCACCGTGAGGCCACCCACGCTTCGGTCGCCAATGGTGATGAGGAAGGATTTGGAGCCAACCGCGGGCATCGTGAAGACGCGCTCGACCGCCTTCTTAAACAGCTCGGCGCCGCTCAGATCTCCGTATGCCTTGCGCAGGCTCGACATGGCGTCGAACGGGAGCAGGCTGGGCTTCTTGGAGACAACCTCTCGCTGCAGCAGGCGCTTGGGAGGGAAAAGAGCATCCATGGGAAGATCGATCGGCCTGGGATACTCCTTGGACTCTCTATCTGTGAGCACCAGCCGGGCAGCTCCATTCTCGTCCTTGGAAACGACTGTTCCCACGTCTGAGAATCCGCAGCGCTCTCGTCGGCAGATGCTCGTGAAGCGGTTCATGCTGTCGGCGTTGATCAACAGGACATATCGCTCCTGAGCCTCGTTGCACCAGATCTCGAGCGGGCTCATGCTTCGGTCCATGCTTTCAACCTGGCGAAGCTCAAAGTTTCCTCCATATCCAGCGTCCTTGACCACTATTGACGGTTAGTTGCGACGAACGGGCATAGAAGGATTCGAAGCAGCAACTCACGCTCGGGAAGGGCGTTGGACAATCCACCCGCACCAACGTCGTGGATCATGGCAATCGGGTTGTGCTCGCCCAAGGCAGTGCAGGTGTTGATGACCATTTGAGCGCGGCGTTCCATCTATGCCATGATTAGTACTGCGTCAAAGAATCGAGAACCTTGCAAAAAGCCATACCTCAGGGTTACCGCGCTGAACACTGGCAAAGTCAAGATCCGCACTGCTCTCTCCGCCGGCGCTACTGGAGGCGGCACCACCGCCAAGCCCGATGAGCATCGCAGGGCCCCCGAGGACGATGACGTGGGCGCCCTCTCGAACATATCGCTCTTCTTTCAGGGCGTGCTGAGGTCGCACAGATCCGAGACCACCAGCAATCATGATGGGCTTGTGGTAGCCTCGCCAGTTGGCAACGCTAGACAGGTCGGAACCTTCTTGAGGCTCCTCAGGGGTCAGGAGAGTTCGAAAGCAGCCTGCAAGAGCCGGACGACCGAACTCGTTGTTGAAGCGGGCACTGCCGATGGGTGCCTCCAGCATGATGTCCAGGCTGCTGGCGTAGTGGCGAGGCCGGCCAACGTCAGTCTCCCAGGGGGCGTGGTTGTCGGGGATGAGGAGGTCCGAGACCCAGAAGCCGCTCAAGCCAGCCTTTGTCGTGGATCCTCGTCCAACCGCAGCCTCGTCTCGGATCTCTCCGCCTGAGCCGGTGGCAGCACCAGGGAACGGTCTAGGAATGAGTCAGTCTCTGGCCCAGCAAAATGAGATGCCCAAAAATCAACCAGATCACCAAGGGAGCCTGATCTCTGCCCAAGCAGATGGAAATAGAATCCTTTTGAAACTTACGAAATGGCAGTGGGGTGGTTGTGAGTCTATTGAGCTGTGTTAGAACCAGGCAAACGAGGAAAATCATGATATGGCTCATGAAGCTTACCTCAACCTTGGTGAGAATGTGGACGACTTCAGGAATAAGCTTCCATGAGCCGGTAGAGTAATCAGGAGCCCAGACATTGGCCTGTTCGCCCTCAAGCACAGCCGCATTGTCGCTGTAAGCCGAGACGGTAAAGTCGGGCGTGGTCTTGTGGGTGGTCTTGATCATCTCAAACAGGCTCTTGTCCTGGGGGACGCCGTCGATGGTCCACGCCGAGTTGAAGACCTTGTGCCGGCAGTGTCTGAATACAAAAGGTAAGCAGCCCACTCGTGGCGAGTTAGACAAGGATGCGCTCGTACTCTGAGTTGACCTGAGCAAACATGAAGAGCTCGACATCGTGCGGCGGCCGGCCCAGCTTGGTGAAGACGCCGACGAGGTACTGCATCTCGGACTCGTCGAGGCTCAGGCCCTTTTGGACGTTGTACTCGCGGAGGATGCGCAGCGGGTCCTCCTTGTCGGCGAAGATGTCGACGGCGACGAGGGGCGCGGGCGACTTGGACTCGAACATGTGCACGAGCGACGGCGGCTCGACGCTCCAGAGCTCCGTCATGCGGTCGTGCAGCACATCGCGGAAGGCGGCGTCGTGGCCGTCGGGCAGCTTGTCGGCGAACTGGATGGAGATGCGGCGGCCGCGCTCGATGCGCAGGACGCGCTCGCGCAGGCCGCAGACGTGGGCGATGCTGGTGGCCTTGGAGCTCCAGGGCGAGATGTAGCGAGGCGTGGCGTAGACGGTGAAGGCGTTGTCGGGACCGCCGGACGCCAGCCCCCAGCCGCGGACGTCGTGCAGCAGCTCCTCAACCTGCTCGAGGGCGTCGTGGGACGACACCTGCAGGTTCACGTAGTAGATCCATTGGCCCTGGATGTCCTGGACCTTGCAGGGGCTGGCCTTGTCGATGAGCTCGCGCAGCTTCTGGGCGTCGGCCTGCGTGAAGCACGAGCCTCCAACAAGCACCTCGTACGGCATTCTGGCGGAGGGGCGTCTGCTGCTGCTGCTGAGCAGAATCACTCAATGGCCATAAGATGAAGAGATTTCGATAGGCGAGCTTCTGCACCGGACGAGTCGATGCAGCTCCCCAACCAAGAGGCAGGAAAAAAGTTGTGATGAATTTCTGCCCCTCCCTTATCTATCGGTCCTTGGTGGGGAGAAAATATTTTCGGACCGGCAATCGGCCGCTGCTGAGGCCCAGAGCTGTTGAGTCAGACTCGAAGAGTACCTCTGCGTTGGGGGCCTATACTGCTGAGACTCAAGTATCCTTCTCCATTCCACTAACACGCCGTTGGATCGACAGCTAAGAGATCCCTAATGCCAAATGCGTCACAGGCCAGATTCTTCGAAGCCGGAGCGTGACGAGAAAAGATCCTGCAAGCCATATGAATAGTTCAACAAACGAGCTACTAGATATTCTAGGCCACTGATAACGCGAGCTAGCAGGACCTATCATTCAGCCTCTGAAAAATACTATAACGTACAGGACTCTCTCTGCCGTGATGGACTGACTGCGAGGTGGTCAAGGCTGAGCTGATCTTGTAATTGGTGGTGGTTAGTGCAGTATCTTGCATGCCATACGCCTTCACCTAGGTAGTTTGCTACTTATCAGACGGCACAACTTTGGCATTCACCGATACAAAGATCCAAATCATAGTCAAAACGACAGGACATGCCTTTGTTACTCCATTTCTCTGCTCTTGACATGATCTCTGCTGCTCGATGAGCCAGCTTGTTCGCTCATCTACACCAGAATCCTTTAGACTCCCCATCTGCCTCTAGGAAGGCAGTTGTGACACTGGACGGATGGTCGTGTATGGGAGCAGAAAAACGACGAAGATTGCTGACAAAAAGTTAGTCGCTTCTTTGACATATCTTGACATCAAGTTTTATCTTGAACGAAAAGCATTTGCCTCAGCGTTCAAGAAGTGTGTCGCGAGGAGGGTGGTTTGAATCTGCAGTCAGCATGTTCTGCCAACCGGACTTATGTGTATGAACAGGCGGATGTGCAATGGGAAGAAAGTCAAAGGAAACAGCTCTACTTACCTTTCTCCTTCTGTTATCAGTTCAAGCCTCCTTTGGTGCCTAGAATGATGGATGATGCGATGCGATCACTGTTGAATTCGTAGGGTAGCCGAACAGGGGCAAGCTGAAGGTGTCCGATTCAGAGATGTGAGATAGGTACGCTATCGTACGGTACCTACTCAGAAAGCCTCAATACATTGAATGGCATCCTCATAGAGATGTCCATTGGCGGCTGATTCTCGAGAGGAATCTGTTGTTCGTCAGTGAAGGAATGGTCAAGAAGGTGTAAGTGGAGGTTCCTCGACAATTACTACCTTAACATTGCGAGGCAGCGCAAATTAGGTACACAAAGGCATGCTCAGTTCTCGCTCGTAGGCTGCAGAGGGCAAGTATCAGCTCTGGACTCTCAGAACTTGCCAGCTACCAGCCCCTTTGCTCGATCCAAGGTGCTGTGACGGGCAGAAGGTATTGCAAGGAGGGATCAGTGACTCTTGTCGTCCCCCAAATACCACAGTTAACAGGTAGCAAAAGATGGCCTCCTGCGAAACGTGACGGAAGTGGTCTCTACAGTACCTAGTCTGAGAAAGAACAGCACATATTAGATGCCACAACCTCATCAAACATAGCGATGTAGGGGGATCAGCTGAGACGGATTCACCTCACCTTCAGAACGAACTCAATTCAGTGCACGCTTCCCCTTCAAGCCCTTTCTTGTCCCACGCTCTTTTGCGTCAACCCAGAGACTAAACCATTGATAGTGATGGACGGCCGATGCCAGCTGGTACTGGGAAGGAAGTGGCTTCATTCACCCGCCTTTCACGCCTACATAGCCAGCTCATGCTCCCCTTTGACTCTTTCTCCGATCTTTCGAGATGCTCATCTTCAGCTACTCTACCTTTACCGTCCGAATCATCGGCAACGCCTCGAAAGTACTAGACTTCAGCCAAAACTTCTACTCCAGCACAGGTAACCTCTGAGCTCCCCTTGCGCCACTCTACGTACCATTCACTTGGTCTGCACCATCACTTGTCCACCTCGCCTGTTCAATCCCTGACCACATCCTAAAGAAGTCTGAAAGTCTTTGCAATATCTGCTGCCTTGAAGTTGCAACACTCGGTATTGCCCCCTTCTCCCCCCCCCCCCCCCTCCGGCCATCCCTCGTCGAGATACGGTCAAGCTCACGATTCGCCCTCGGTATTCTCCGTTGGCCAGAACATCACGCAGAACCGCTCATCCAGGAATACATAACACTCTTCCAATTCAACACCATGGCAGACTCAAGTCAAGCCCACTACGTCGTCTACCGCATCGAATGCCAGTTCAACAAGACGAGCCGCCACTCGGCCATCTACGTCGCCATGGACTCCCACGGCGCCGGACAGCTCCTCCATGTCCGCTGCGCCGTCGGCCGACCGGGAATGCTGTTTGAGAGGCAGTACTTTGTGAGCAATGGGCCAGAGTCTCTCGCGACCTTTGTCTACAAGATCCCCGTGGGCAAAGTGAGAGTTGAGGACGTGGACCGCCTGACGGAAGTTTGCTACAGTATTGCTCCTCCGGCCATGCAGTATATCGGCGATGTCTGCCAGTGCGGAGCTTGGGTTAATGAGGCTTGTCTTGAGTTTAGGATTGCGGGCCTGCTGTTTGGATAGGGGACAGCTCATCTTGTGTGCTGCCAGCTTTGTCAGAGGATATTTAGGGATTCTCAAGGAAGTTTGATCTATGATTGCTAAGCTGGCATTTAATCGATATCTGATTCTGCTATATTTATGCATTGAAGGCATGAGAGGTCTCGACATTCAGGTTGCAAATGTGGAAAAGGGGTGGGCTACAAACTGCTATGACGACTTTCCGTGATAATGAGGCTCCAAGTTCAGGGACATTATCAATGGTAAAAGCATCGATGCTGGCAGTCATAGATATGATCCAACAGATACTCACATGCAAGACTTCAGCCCTGGTATAGGCGATTGAAAGTGGCAGTCCGCGATAGGGAGGGGGCGTTCTCCTTGATGTTGAGTAGCAGCCATGTCTGTGAAGTTGGCTACACAGAAGATGAAACAACCGCAAAGCCAACGAAGAAAGGAGACCTGATGTCGGCATGTGTCCAGCTATTCAGAGTAGCCTCGCAGACATGTGCCAGATAGAAGCGACTGCTGTGTACCATTGCCACGTAAGGCACCTGGGATGTCTCTACTAGCCGTTTTGTGTATCGTCAAACAGCCCGTGATGCTGGGATTCTGAGCATCCAACTCCTCGTTCCTGCTGTATCGTGGTATGTCACGGGCTGTCAGACCCGGGGGTTCCAATTCAGAGCGGAAACAGCAGAGCACAGGGTGCGTGAATCGAAACGCCAGAAAATCACCTTGGCTATCTACCTATAAAGCATGCGATATGTACGCCGGAAGAACAGATATGCTGTCAATGAGCTCAGCACACTCCCTCTCCAAGACATATCTAGCAAGCTTTCTTGAAGAAGACCGTAAAAAGGCACCAATAGCTCTGGAAAATGCCTCGACGGCGCGCCTCCGTAGAGGATTCCGACTCTGAGCGTCGAGGCCCCTTCACTCGACGCGGACAAGAAATCCGCGAAGCCCTCCAGACAAAGAACATTGACAGACAGGTGCTCAGGGCTCTGGACCAGACCTTCTGCATCGGCTTCCAGGCTTTCACTCTCTACGACGCCATCGACGACCCCAGGTTCAACGCTGCAAACGGGGTTCCGGGATACACAATCGTGGAAACTGCCGAGGCGGCGGCGACGGAGCGGAATCTGAGTCTGCGCCAGAAGAGGGCCCTCTTCACCCTCATGGGCTGGTGGTTCGAGTGCATCAGCTGCAGGATGTACAAGTCGGCCATGGACTATGAGGGCACGGCGTATATGCTCTGGTCGTCGGGGGATCCGGTTCGACCGTACTTGAGGAGCGGTCCTTGCACTTCGTGTCATGAGCAGAGGACTAGGGAAGGTCGGTCATCGCGTCGTCGATGAGGTGTTGGTACTGGAGCACTGAGGCAAGTCAGCTAGAGAATGAATTGACTCGGGGGTGGTCGGACCAGAGACCAGGGAGGAGGCTTGGAAAGAGGTAATTTTGGGATAGGTAGGGAGATACGAGAGCAAGGTCTCGATAGACAAATCACTTGAGAGTACATTTGTGCGAGTTCCCAGAGGCAATGGTGCTTATTCTGTGTCAAAATCCATGTGAAGAAAGGTAAAGGGCCATTGAAAAAGGCGAGTTCAAATGGCGTTTGCAGTCGGGGGGTAGGTCGTAGCAGTGACAGTTGGCAGGGGAGAATAGCTGGTAAATACCGACCAGCTGCCGCCAATTGATGGAGTTTGTCTTTAGCAATAGTGGCCCTAGACGTTCTTCATGTACACGAATGTTCTTATTTTCTCCTTTGGTTAACATTCCTTCCGCGAGCTCGCCATCGAGCGTTGGGACTCGGCTGTTGTCTAGCGTTGATGTCTTGGGATATCATGGTCATCTAGCGAACAGCTGAATGCCAAAGATTGAGCTCATTACCTCAGAGTGACAAGATATGGCAAGAGTTTCTGCCTCCTGCAAATCACGAATATCTTCTCTACTCTCAATAGTATTCAGATGCAGAGTCCTCCACATCTCGAGTTCGAACCATGCCATGCCATTATTGCACAGATGTGAGTCAAGGAACACTCAGCCATCGAGATTCTCAGAACATGATTGCCGCGTTGAGTCGAATCGTTGGAGCTTAAGTCGAACCTCAGCGACACCTCCTGCGCGGTCAGCGTCTGAGGAGGGCAATAGCCCATCCAGGCTTGCATATAATGAGCTATGCTGCTCAACCCCTTACAGGCACCCATTTCACCTGAAATGAGTCATGAAGCGGCAAATCGAGGCTCGGCCATCCTTCCGTTGCGAAAGCAATAGAACGGTCTCGATGGCCCTCGTGAGGGCTGCGCGAGCCACTTTGGTAATGACCACGAGGTGAGCTGAAGCCCTTGAGGTCCATGACGGGAGATTGCTTTGTTTTTCTCCCGTCTCGCCACCAATATTCATAATACAAATGATGGTGTCAATAGATAAGGCACTTGGATGAATGCTACGCACCGCAATGGTACCCAAGACTGCTTCGAAGAAACATGGAGCTGGCGACATCCCTTGTTCCTGCAGCCAAGACCTGCCATTGCCGCCAGAGACTAGATTGGGAACTTGATGATGTTGGAATAGGTAGGTAGGACGAAAACAATACCTCTGGTCATGGCTCTGCAAAACCAGCCATGACTGTCATGGCAATCTTTGACCCATGTGAGCCCAGGCTGAACCAGGTGCTTTCTAGGAGGGCATTGATGATATCAAAGATACTGTAGTCCTCAGCATCCGAAAGCGGTATAACTACTGCTGTAAGCTGTATGCACTATGATCGATACTGCTACATCAAGTTGCATCGGTCTTGTCAGCTTCTGGAATCTAGGCCCTGGGAGCTATATTTGGAGGCGCGGGTTGCTCTTCAGCCTCAGCTGGGCAAGTCAAGGGAGATGGATGCGTCTGATGAGATGATTCCGCGTGCGTTCGACACACGGGCCCCGGCTGATGCAAGTAGGTAGGGCTCAGGGGCGACAGTCTGTGCGGGATGGCGGCTGTTCAGATTGCTTGTGGCACGGAATACTGATTGCCGGCTGGCGCCTTGCATATATGGTGGAAATTGTCACAATCCGGGTTGTTGAGGCGCAATATTCTCCGTCTGCCCAAGAGCTCAGGTTGCTGGGTGACACAAGCAAGCCTCTGTCGTACGAGTCCGTTGAGGTGAACGGAGGTGAATACCCTTATTGCCAGGAATTTCGGGCCCTGACTCGTCTGGATCAAGCATCTTCGTATGCTTGTTTGCCCCTGCACGTCCTCCATGGTCATCATATATGGTGCCAAGCGCTTGTGTCTGTACCGACAAATCGGTCATCTCCACCTCGAACCAACATGAACCGTCTCACAACATGATGCAGCAGCTCTTCATGATATACGATAAGCTGCTGTACAAGTAGCCCTGTTATTGCTTCTTACAGTTCCCAAGAATGAGCTGTGCCCCATTGATATCCTTCATAGCAGCCCTCGGCTATACTGCATGTTCTCTGCCCTGAGAGACCAGTACCTACACAATGCATGGGCACTCCCTGAACGCCAACTGGCTGACGGGAGTCTTCCCCAGCAGGCTGCAGGGGGGGATGAGCCGCTCCAGCTGTCAGGCACCCGCTGCTAGAGCCCAGATGGCGCCAAATCCAGGGTCCAGCTTCACCAGGCTATCGGACGGGCTGGCTCTGCCCCCCTGCCATCTGCCATCCATCAACCGCCCACATCTTCTCTCTCTCTCTGTTCCCCCACCATCTCTCTCTCTCTCTCTCCGTCTGGACTTGTCCCCTGCTCTCTACCCAGGCTACACACCGTCGTTGGACCCCTGGACTGCTGTCATTTCCAGTCGAGCACGCGCAGAGCGAGATCGGGCTCGTGCTGCCCCGGCTTTGCATTTCCAGCTCGTGCAGCCTGCTGAGAACCACCGCTGTCCAGGTCGTACCGACGGCTACACTTTCAATATTACCAGCCTCAGCGAGCCGCGTCTCCACCACCCGGCAGTCATGGCAAAAGATGCTGAGCTGGAGGCAAGGAAGATAAGAACACTGAAAAAATGGCAGAGATATGGGCCCTGGCAATTCCGAGTATTGGCGGCCTGATGGCTGCTGGTTGCCATCTACCAGCTTGGCATCGTGACGCATTCTCCTGCCGTCCTGGAGTCCAGAAGCAAGAACTCGGTGTTTGGTTCTCTGACTCTTTAAAAAGAGCGAGGCTCCCCTGCTTTTACTCGGTGTAAGCCATCTCCATCTCACCTAGAACCTGGACACTTGCAGCCATGAGACTGGCCGCGCTGCTCCTGACGGCCTTTGCTGGCCTGGCCAATGGCCTCGCCTCGACTGACACCATCACCTGGGGTGGTGACAACTCCAGAGCCGGATACCAGACGTAATGCGCGCCCCATCATATATATGCACAGCAACTGCTTCATGGCGACTAACCGTGGACAGGAACCATAACATGGACCCCTCTGTCGTCGGGAGCTCCTCGTTTGGCCAGTTGTTCCAGACCAAGCTTCCTGGCTTCTATGCCGACGCTGCTGAGCAAATCTTCTCTCAGCCTCTCGTCTACACCCCCAGCAGCGGCACAAAGCAGTATGTCTACGTGGCCACCACGCAGAACAATGTGTACAAACTCGATGCCAAGACGGGCGAGATCATTGCCTCGAGAAGTCTTCACATCCCATTCCTGGCTGCAGACCTCGATGGATGCGTTGACATCAACCCCAGCATTGGAATCACGGCCACCGGTGTCATCGACCCTGATACAGACACTCTCTACTACACCGCCAAGACATATGCCGACCAAAGCAAGCTTAACATACCGCAAGGCCGCGATGCTGGCAGATACTATATCCACGCCCTGGACGCCAATGATCTTACCGAGAAGCCCAACTTCCCCGTTCCCATCGATGGAGTCATTGCCCGCAACAACAATGTGCGCATGTTCACCGGCGGCATCCACCTCCAGCGAACGGCACTGCTTCACACCGGCCAGTACATCTATGCTGGGTTTGCTTCGCACTGCGTCCAGTACAACTTTACCGGCTGGATCATCGGCTGGGACAAGGCCACTGGTAAGATAGTCGAGCACTATGCCATGGAGGGCAAAGGCATCCCCAACGACGTCAAGGGCGCCGGCCTCTGGATGTCTGGCGGAGGCATTGCTTCTGATGATGCTGGTTCCATCTGGTACGCTACAGGCAACGGCTACGCGTCTCAGCTGGCCAATGTCCCCGTCAAGGGATTCAACCCGCCCACTTCGCTGGAAGAGGCTGCCGTGCATATGACAATCAACAGTGATGGCTCTCTGAACCTGGTTGACTTCTTCATGCCTTGGGAGAAGCAGGCCTTGGACGGTGCCGACAAGGACCTCGGGACGAGCCCTCTCGAGATTCTCCCCAGTGAATTTGCCTGCGGAGACGTCAAGCGCATCGGCGTCGTCACTGGCAAAAGCGGCAAAACCTACTGGCTCAACTTGGATAACCTGGGTGGCTACAGAAACGGGCCCAACAACCTGGATGATGCTATCCAGACCTACCAGAATGACAACTCGGTCTACGCCGGTGCCGGAGTCTACCCCCTCGAGGGCGGCTACATCTACATCAACGTGATCCAGCACCCTTCCAACGTCTTCAAGTTTTCTTGTACCAACGGCGTTCCGTCGTTTACCAAAGTTGCCACGACTCCTGAGACGAATGCGTACGTCCTCGGCGTCAGCCATGGTACCACCACATCCCTCAACGGCCAGCCCGGCACTGGCCTTCTCTGGGTGACTGACGTCCAAGGCTTGAACTTGCGCATCTACGACGCTGTCCCCAAGGATGGCGTGCTCAACATGATCAACTCGTTCAACATTCCTGGCGTCATGAAGTTTACCCGGCCCGTATTCGGAGACGGCATCGTGTACGTTGGCACCAACCAGGGGCAATTCTATGCCTTTGGCTCTCCTGTAAAATCGCCCCTCAACTGCACTTCGCCGGTTGCCTTTGGTAATGTCAACCTCAGAACGTCCAGCGACTCTCAAGAGGTGAAATGTACGGCTCTGATTGATGTCCGCGTTACGGGCATCGCACTCGACTCGACCAAGGACTACAAGATTTCTGGCATTCCTACGACACCTCTCGAACTGACCGAGGGCGATTATTTCACCCTCCAGGCCAAGTTCACCCCCACCGCTGTTGGACTCATCTCAAACGACATTGTCGTCAACACGACGAATGGTGTTGCTGGCTTCAGCTCCAATACCCACGCTCGACTGACTGGAACCGGCCAAAGCCCAGGCGCTCTCTTGTCTGTCGCCCCAACAACGATTACGTTTCAGGGTGTGGTTACTGGGGAGAATCCAGATGGCGTCGCGGAGACCCTGATTCTCAACAACCTCGGGAACGAGCCCCTGGCCATCCAGAGCATTCTGTATTCATCCACCAGTGGACGTGGCCCTTGGGAAACATGGAATGGCCCGGGAAATCTGACAGTTGGCAAGTTTGTCTTCCAAAAGATTCCTTCCTCTCTTGGTCCCAAGGACAGCACCGCCATTCAGATCCAATTCGATGGCTCTAACGGAGGCACCTTTTCTGCCTTTGTCACCTTTGTCTCCAACGGCGGCAACCAGACGGTCTCGATTGCAGGCTCTTCCGGCCCTGCTGCCGTTGCACTGCTCGAGTTCCAGCGCCCTGATGGATCTGGCTGGACAAAGTATGTCAACGGCACTCCATTTACCTTTGGCAATGTGACTGAGAACAACGGCCGTTCCCTCAAGTTCCGCATTACCAACGCCGCACCTGAGGGAGGCGTCAATCTTTCTCTCACTGTCTCCAAGCCCCCCTTTGGTGCTACCGGTCTTGTCAGAGCCCTTAACCAGATTGACCTGGCAGAGGGCACGTCACTGGCTCCAGGAGAGAGCGCGAATGCGACACTCAGTTGCACTGTTCCCAAGTCCCAGTGGAACGTCGACCCTTACAATGGCACTGCGCAGTGGACTCTGAACACCAACGATCCGAGCCTGGGAAAGCAATTCGTCCAATTCTTTTGTCGAGCCGTGTCAGAGCAGGCTCCTCCTCTGCTGCCTGACGGTGACCAGGGACGTTATCGATATGTTGGATGCTTCAAGGAGGACAATCCCGGCCGCCAGCTCTCCGAGCAGCTATACGGAGCGGATGACAACACCAATGCCATGTGTATCTCTGCTTGCGCCGAGAAGAAGTATGCCTACTGCGGTACTCAGTATCATACCGAGTGCTGGGGCGGCAACACCATTCCCAGCCTCCAGGTTGACGACTCCAACTGCAACTACTACTGCGGCGGAGATATCAACCAGGTGTGCGGTGGGAACGGTGACGGCGCTGCGGCCTACATTTCACTGTTTGCTGATTCTCTTCAGCCCGATGATGGATCGACCTCCCCCCCTTCATCCGGTGGTCCTGTTGTTAACCCCGGCGTTGATGGTTATGCAAGCATTGGATGCTATACCGAAGCCACTGAGGCGCGTGCTCTCCCCAACTGGGCGGGCACCGATGAGCAGACCGTGGCAGAGTGTGTTGGCGCTTGCAAAGCTGGTCACTATGTATATGCGGGCATTGAATACGGCGGAGAGGTAGGTTCCAAAAGAATAATGTCTCAAGTCGAGGTGGTGACAATTGCTGACCTGAGTTGCAGTGCTGGTGTGGCGACTCATTCAACGATGGCTCAGTTCCTGCTCCCATCTCGGAGTGTGGAATGACTTGCAACGACAACTCGACCGAGTACTGCGGAGGCCCGAACCGTCTCAACGTCTACAAGCTTGATATCACTGTCATTTCTACGACTGCGTCCACCTCTGTTGGTAGAGCCACCACGACTGCTCCCCAGAGTGAGACTGAGACGATAACTGCTACCACTACGGCACTTGACACCACCACGGCCACTTCTCCCACAGCCGTTGCTTCCAGCAGCCCAACTCCTACCGGCCCTGTTGTCAACCCCGGGCAGCATGGTTATTCAAGCATTGGGTGCTACACCGAAGCTACGGACGCTCGTGCTCTCGCCAACTACGTCGAGACGGATGATAAGACGGTTGGTGACTGCCTGGGGGCGTGTAGCACATATCAATATGTCTATGCCGGCCTCGAGTATGGCGGAGAGTGCTGGTGTGGTGATTCCCTCGGCAAGGGATCCATTCCCGCATCGATCGAGGACTGCAGCATGACTTGCAACGGCAACTCGACCGAGTTTTGCGGTGGCCCGAATCGACTCAACGTTTACAAACTGACCAGGTTGCCCATGTCCACGACTACGATATCTTCAGCTGCAACTTCGGCCCCCTCGGTCCCGACGCCGACTGGCCCAGCCATCAAGCAGCATGTCAGAGACTATAGCTTCCAGGGGTGCTTCGAGGAGCCGGTGGATGCCCGGGCCATTATTGAGCAAATGTATGCGGATGATTCAATGTCGCTCGAGGCTTGCGCCGACTTCTGCAAGGGGTACACTTACTTTGGCACCGAGTACGGCCGAGAGTGCTACTGTGGCAACGTTTTGAATGAGGGCAGCAAGAAGGCAGCTAACCAGGATGACTGCTCGTTCCCCTGTGCTGGCAACGATAAGGAGTTGTGCGGCGCTGGATCTCGGCTCGAGCTGTACAAGGTCCAGAAGAACGCCACAACCTCGTCTTCGCCTTCCAGCTCGGCGACGACGACCCCCGTCGAAGGCACCGCGTCAAAATCATCGGCGGCGCCTACGCCTACACCTACAGGGCCCGTCATCTGGCAGGGCAACAAGAACTTTACCTATTACGGCTGTCTGTCGGAACCTTCGGCGGGCAAGCTGATGGACAACCAGGCGTATAACAACGACACCGCGATGACGCCCCAGATGTGCCTGTTGCACTGCTCAGAGTACAAGTACGCGGGCGTTGAATATGGGCAGGAGTGCTGGTGCGGCGATTCGCTGAATCTTGCCGGCTGGGAGGGTGCTGTGCCAGGCAAGAACGTGACGGGTTCTGAGTGCGACGTTGTGTGTCCTGGGAACTTGACAGAGTACTGTGGTGCTGGGAATCGGCTGCAGCTGTATGTCAAGAGGACGGAGTTTGAGGTCCGGTAGACGAGGATTTGGGGGGTAGACTTGCGAGGTGCGTGAAACGGGGTTGGTGATTTGAATATAGGGAACAGTATGTTTTATTCTGGGTAATATTATGGTGTTATAGAACTTGCTTACAACGGTGGAACCGATCTCTTGTAGATTCAATAAGTATATGTATGTTCAAGCAGAGTTAATCATTATGACAATGCTCTTTTTATACGGACGCTATCTCGTAGACACCTGGGTGACATCGTTGTGAGCTTCCTCTTGGGCGGCTTCATACATTCCCCTTCAAATCGACCATCTCTCCCTCTGTCGAAACATAGCACAATATGTCTGAGCATCCTCCTCATACAATCTGATCACTCAACCCTGTTCCCATCCAAATATATCTCCACCTTTTCATTATAAAACGAAATCAGTCCCGCAACCGCCGCACTCTCATGCAGCGTCGCCCGATAATACCAAACCACATCCTTGTACTCCCTTCCATCGTCCAGCACGACGTCGTAGTACTCGGCCGTGCCCTTGTACGGACAGTACGTCGTCGTCGTGCTCGGGCGGAGGAGGGCCGGGTCGACGACGGAGGCGAGCGGGAGGTAGTACCGGACGCGGAGGCCCGTCTCGTGGAGGTGCTGCGCGTGGGGGGACTTTGCGACGGTCTTGCCGGCGATGCGGACCTCGATGGGGCGGGTGGAGGGGAGAATGTCGATGCGCTTGAAGGGGTCTTTTGGGTGGCCGTAGATGGGGAGGTCTTCTTCCAGCCAGGAGTCTTTTGGAGGGGGGAGGGCGTCAGTAGGTAGATATATATATATATATGATATGATACCTACCTAGGTATGTTTATAAGGACAGGGTGATGGAAGGGGCGAAACTGACCCATTGCTGAGAATTCGAGCCTTACCAGGCCGGCCAGGACTCCCCAGCTGGTGTCATTGTCGAATCGAAGCACACGATCCGTCGACTTGGCTTCGATGCCGGGCTTTTCCGCGACGGTGAGGGTGGCGAGGGCTTCGTTTGTGAGGGAGGCGGCTTGGATGTCAGAGGCAGGGATGTAGTACTGGGGATACCATTCGTGCTCCCAGACGAGGACGGCGCGGGTGGTGTCGACGATGAGGGTCTTGTTGAAGATGATGCGGATGCGGCGGGCGGTGGGGAGGGTTTTGTGAGGGCCGGAGGTGCGGAGGCGGGCGAGGAGGGCGGAGAGGCTGTTTGCATGGTTAGTTGGCGATGCAGTGATGTGATTCTTCTTTGGTATTGTGGTGGTGATGTGAGTGGTGAGTGTGTGAGATGAGATGTGAGGTGAGTGTGTGAGTGAGTAGTGACATACTCCTTTCCTTCGTTTCCTGTAGCCATTGTGATGACAGATGTATTATCTACTGGTCCTACTTGGAATGGTATATTTCCTGCATGGGAAGCGTCAATGGCGATGAACTGTTCAAGAATTCAACAGCGCTATGAAGCACAAGAATAGGAAATCAAGTTGGTTTTATAAAGCAAGCCAACTCAGTAGTTCTGACATCTGGTTTGTAAGTCTGCCGCAGTTGAGCATCAAAGTGCGAGACCCCGCAAGCTCGCTATACGGAGGCGCATGACGCAATGGGTAGAGGGGGGACGGGCAACGTGATTTGGAAGCAGATTTGAAATGGCTGCAAGCAGCTTCGACAGATACGTTGTCTGGGTATGTAAAGGTCAAGAGCATGTGTAGCTTCATACTGATATATAGGTTTAGGGGCGACTACGTCTTGATAGTGGACTTGACCTGTTCTGTATGCCTGGAGACGCAAATGTTGGAATCAATCAACTACCTTGGCTAAAGAGGTTCGTGATGGCGACAATCAAGATATACAGTCTCGGTGTTTACTCTATCATAGCTGTGATACCTTGAAGAGTCTGTTAGACTAGGTAGGGTTAATCTTCCAACGAGATGCATCGAGCTTCTGCAGTAGTAAAACAATGGTCGCCGTGTTGATGCCGCAGATACTGGGCGTGACTCGAGGTGGTAAAATCTCCCTGACAGTGAGTGGCTCAAGGCTCGGCTCAGCGTCTCTTTTTGCCACATTTGGAGAGAAGCTGCGTATTAGCTGTGCAGCGCCATCTCCCGCGCTGCTGAACGACATTTGGAATCATTGGATGCGTTTGTCAAGACAGTCTTTTTCTAGTACTAGGTAGGCTCAAGTTGCTCTGCTGTGGAAGTGCTTAAAGAGAAAGGTAAACAGTCGGAACTGAATATCCTCCGGATGCCGCAGCTCCAGTTCTTCTCCAGCTGTCCCACCGTTTTGTTATGTCCCTGCAGTTCCCACCTCTGTCGGCACAATGGAACAAGAACAACGGCAGATTGATAACCACGGCTCTTCTGTCTCGCTATGCTTCTGGAACGCAAAGCAACAAACAAGCTTGACTACAGCTTCGTCCAGGGCACGCAAGATCCCATCTAGAGCCGAGGCAAGCTGGGCCGAAGCCACCCGCCCCCCCAAATCTCGACGATTCCCTGCCGAGCATCGCATCGACCCCAAGGACCAGATTAGCGCGGCTAAAGGCTTTCGAAATCGTGTTACGCATCCAAATGACAACAGCCGGCAGATTGTGCTATGCCTATTTCCGCCCAGATGGAGCTCAACAAATGACGGGCGATCCGCCAATGCGGAGATCTGGAAAGGTCAGCCAAAGCAGGGCACTGGACTTGGTGGTCTTGTTGACGATGCCCTGGCTAATCATGATACATACAGCTAGTACAGTGACCATTATACTGTCCTGTCCTCTACAGGGCTAGGTAATCAGGGCATTGCTGCGGTTGTTGCCGTGGATCTGTGCCGCATCTGACGCATGTTTCCGTACCTATATACAGTATGTATGGACGAGGAGCGTGGAGTTGTCGAGTTCCCGCAACTCGGCAAACCCAAGACAAATGAGCCGTCTCCATTCGCCCATCACAGCAGCTACAACGTACTAGTTTGCCCTGAGCTCTTGTTTGTCTCAAGTTGTCTGTATTCTCAACTCTCATAATACTACATCCACAACCACAACTCAACACAGCACAATGAGGCCTTCCACAACACTGAGAGCCGGCCGGCTGGCCCAGTCCCTCTCACGACCCCTTCGCCAGTCCCCCGCCGTCGTCCGCATCAACAGCCGCGCCCACAGCACCGCCGTCGACACGCCCATCAGCTATGCGGCTGCCCCTCCCCCTCCCCCTCCCCCGCAGCAGCAGCAGCAGCAGCAGAGGTCGGGCCTGGATGGCAAGAAGCTGATGGCCGAGGCCGTGGCCGCGACGAAGCCGCGCAACAACTGGACCAGGGAGGAGATTGCCGCCATCTACTACCAGCCTCTGCTGGAGCTGACGTACCAATCGGTATGATGACTTATATATCGATCTCACGTCGACGTGATGACACAAGCGAATCGAGGCTGACATATGACATGTGTTGTCCAACTATATCTAGGGCTCCCTGCACCGCCGCTTCCACGCCCCCGGCGAGGTCCAGCTATGCACCCTCATGAACATCAAGACGGGCGGCTGCTCCGAGGACTGCTCCTACTGCGCCCAGTCGTCGCGCTACTCCAAGGACACAGGCCTCGAGGCCAAGAAGATGGAGTCGGTCGAGTCCGTGCTGGAAGCCGCGCGCCAGGCCGCCGCCAACGGCAGCACGCGCTTCTGCATGGGCGCCGCCTGGCGCGACATGCGCGGCCGCAAGTCGGGCCTCAAGAACATTGTCGAGATGATCAAGGGCGTCAAGGCGCTGGGCATGGAGGCGTGCGTGACGCTGGGCATGATTGACGCCGAGCAGGCGCGCCAGCTCAAGGACGCCGGCCTGACGGCGTACAACCACAACGTCGACACCAGCCGCGAGTTCTACCCGTCCGTCATCTCGACCCGCTCGTACGACGAGCGGCTGGCGACGCTGGGCCACGTCCGCGACGCGGGCATCAACGTCTGCTCAGGGGGCATCCTCGGCCTGGGCGAGTCCTCCGAGGACCGCGTCGGGCTGCTGCACACCGTCTCGACGCTGCCCAAGCACCCGGAGAGCTTCCCCGTCAACGCCCTGGTCCCCATCAAGGGCACGCCGCTGGGCGACCGCGAGCCCATTGCCTTTACCAGCATGCTGCGCACCATTGCCACGGCCCGCCTGCTGATGCCGGCCACCATCATCCGCATTGCCGCCGGCCGCAAGACCATGTCGGAGGAGAAGCAGGCGCTATGCTTCATGGCTGGCGCGAATGCCATCTTCACCGGCGAGAAGATGCTGACGACGGAGTGCAATGGCTGGGACGAGGACAGTGCCATGTTTGGGCGGTGGGGGCTGGAGCCGATGAAGAGCTTTGACAAGAAGCCTGTGGAGGCGTAGGAGCGGTTTATAGAAGCTAGATGAGCGTTTGATTGATATGCAATGAATGGTTTTTACAAGAAAGTAAATGATGGTCAAGATATACAAAAAGGGGGGGGGGGGGGGGCACGAAAAGATGGTACAACAGCACTATGAATGAATATACAACAGACGTCAGCGATTGCATTGATGCATTTCCGTTTTCTCATCATGTATCATTACAATCTACTCTTTACGGCTTTTACCACCCACTGCTCTACTGCTCTACACAATCCCTCCACCTCCTCCACGCTGTTCCCAGCGTGCAAACACACCCTCACCCGATCCTGCCCCATCGGCACCGTAGGCGCCACAATCGGCCTCACCGTGAACCCCCTGTCCTGGCAATACTGCGCCAGACTCCGCGCCTTGTTTGTAAACAGCGGCAGGATGGGCGACTGCGGCACCTCGGGGTTGATGCGGAAGAGCTCCGGCGAGGGAGCATGCCGTTTGATAGTGTCTGCGAGGAGGCTGTGCATGTGGTGAATCAGGGAGTACAGCTTCTTGATGAGAGGATCTGCATGGCCGCTGGCGAGGAAGTTGTAGGTCGTGCGGATGCTGGCGAGGGAGGGAAAGGACATTGCTGTTGTGTAGATGAAGCTGCGGGCGTAGTTGATGAGGTAGTTTCTTGCGGTTGACGAGCAGAGGACGATGGCTGTTTTACTTTCAGGTCAGCAGAGTTCGCAACAGGGTTTTCCCCCTAGAGAAGAAAAAAGATATAATAAACCACTCCAGAGAAGATGTAAGGGAGGGGGAAGGGGAAACCCACCACCGGAACATCCCATGGCCTTGCCAAAGGTATGTACGCGCGCCCATATCCTGTCTTGCAGACCAAGCTGACAGACAAGACCTCTTCCTTGGGGGCCGAGGATCCCTGTTGAATGCGCTTCGTCGACGATGATGTAGCCGTTGCCCTGGGGAAGCCTCTTTTCGACGCATTCGGCAATGTGCTTGAGGGGAGCCGCGTCTCCGTCCATGCTGTAGATTCCCTCGACGGCGATGAAGATGTTTGTCCTGCCGCTCTTGACAGCTTCTCCTTGTGGACCTTTTGTCAAGCTCTGCAGCAGAGCGTCTAAGCTTGGGTATTTCAGATTGCTTTCTCCTCTTTCGGAGACTGATGAGGACTCAGCATCGTATACCCTGTTATGCGCAAAGGGGATCCTTTGCGCCCTGCTCAACCGCATTCCATCGTGGACGCTCGCATGGATCAATTCATCGTACACGATAACGTCTCCCCTTTGCGGCACACAGGCGAATAGCCCCGTGTTGGCTTCAAACCCGGAATTAAACAGCAATCCCGCCTCTGCGCCGTGAAAGTCTGCGATTTGCCGTTCCAGATCCTCTGCGAAGGCGGAGTTTCCGTCCAAGAGGCGGGATCCTCCTGAGCCGAGACTGTGGCCGGGTTGAGGACTGCTGCTGCTGCTGCTGCTGCTGCTGCTGCTGTCTGACTGGAGATGAGAGGTGAGGAGCGAGATGTATGCTGCTTTGACGGCGGGATGGGAGGATAGGGAGAGGTAGCTGTTGGAAGAAAAGTCGATGGAGGTTGCGGAGGGGATGGTGAGGCGGCGGAGGCGGCCCTGGGAGAGGCGGGAGGAGAGGATGGAGGAGAGGGTTCTGTCGAGGTTTGTGGGAGGCATTGGGGGGGTTTTCTTTGACTCTGATGGGTTTGGAGCTGCGGATTGGCTCTTCGAATTGGAGTTGTCTGTATAGCTTCACCAGTTTCTGCTTTTGGTGTTCACATGCAGGCAGATCACTGCATGGACGGTCCTGCAGTCAGGGATCAGCTTTCGGCCTGTATCGGCGTCGATGCAGACTCACGGCAACGGCTTCATCACATGCCGTGTCAGCATAGGTAGGTAACCGACTATCTTATCTATCTACTACTACACTTCTACCCACTTCAACTGTCATTGGTGTCGAGCTAGAGCTGCCAGTCCACAGCTCCAAGGAACCGTTCAACTAAAGCCCACTTGTCCCCGGTTAGGGCAAAGGCAAGGAGCCGTCCGCGGACATGCGAGACAGAATGTTGAATCGAGCTGGAGTATGTACTACTAATCCAGCAAAAAAGCCGTTGCTAGTTTTGATGAGGCATTTCGACTCTCAGATGCCGTAAGCCGTGATGATGGTAATAATACTACTGTACCGTATGTACTGTAGAATCTCTTGCTTTGTCTTCTAAACCGGGCTCATTCAAGACTCCACTTGGGATGGATGAACGGAGATCGGCAGGGAACAACCCCCAACAAAAGACAAAGCAGATTTGTTAGTAGTAGTGAGATCAGAGGGCAGATTGATGTGCTCAGCAAGAGAGAGAAAGCCGAACGGGATCTTGCAAGACGGCTATTACTGTATATCGAGGTTATCCGCTACTATTACCCTTTTGAGCGCCATCCACTCGTTCTGTTCCTTGTTTCGGCCCCCCCCAAAGGCTTCAAGCTTCTTTGAGCCGAGCCACTTGAAGCATCAACATATCCTTCATCAACTCTCTGTCAGACGTTCAACTTTGGTTCAGCTCGATTCAATCTCGTGGTCTGTTCGAAGCAATGCCGCAGCCGCCGCCGCCGCTCGCATCGCCGCTCTGGCGCTCCCTCCGCGCGTACCAAATCTTCGGCGCCAACACAGAGGTCGGCAAGACGGTCTTTTCGACGCTGCTGGCCAAGGCGGCTGCCAGACGGAGTCCCGGCGCAGTGGCGTTTCTGAAGCCCGTGTCGACGGGGCCGGATAGTGAAGCTGATGATCGGTGTATGTAGCTGGTCTTTTTTCTTTTGGTCTGATGGAGAGGGCTGAGTTTCGTAGAATTTGTATTGACGTATTGAGTTACCTAGATGATATGGAATATATATAAGCCTTTGCTTGAGGCGTGATAGAACGTTTGATTGACCATGAGAACGAATGTGTAGTCACATTACAAGGTTTGCTCCGGACGTCTCCAACAAGACTCTGTTTCAGTATAAGATTCCAGTCAGCCCACATATTGCAGCTCGCCTCTCCAACAGGGTATGTGTGTGTCGCTCACTCACTCTATCTCACCCTTCTCAACTTACTCAATGCCCAAACTCTCCATTCTCACCATGCCATAGACAATCCCCTCCAATGAGGCCCTCCTCTTTCAAACCCGCGACTACGCAGCCCAATGCGCAAACATTGGCCGCAAATGGCTCTTTGTCGAAACGGCCGGCGGCGTTCACTCGCCCGGTCCCTCGGGCACAACCCAGGCTGACATGTACGCGCCCCTTCGACTGCCGGTGGTGCTCGTCGGCGATTCACGCCTTGGAGGCATCTCGCAGACCATCTCGGCGTTTGAGTCGCTTCGGGTGAGGGGCTATGATGTCGAGTCGGTGTTGTTGTTCAAGGAGGACAAGTATCAAAACTATGAGTACTTGGCAGAGTATTTCGCGGAGCATCATGATGTGCCCGTCGCTGGCGTTATCGAACCGCCCGAGAGAAGATCTAGTCTTGAGGAGGACGTCAGAGTCATGTCGCAGTATTACGAGGAGCAGTCTCAGCACAAGGACACGAGCGGCGTCATTTCTCACCTGGAGAGCCGTCACGAGCAGCGCATCGACCAACTCAACTCCATGGCCACCGAGGCTCTGCGTAACATCTGGTACCCCTTTACGCAGCAGAGCCTCCTCTCCCCCAAGGACATTAATGTCATTGATTCCGCCCACGGTGACTACTTCCAGACATTGACGCCTTCTTCCGCGACGCCCTCACAGTCGGACAGCAGCAGCAGCAGCAGCAGCAGCAACCTCCTCCGGGCTTCCTTCGACGGCTCTGCCTCATGGTGGACGCAAGGCCTCGGCCACGCCAACCCCAAGCTGACCCTCGCAGCCGCCTACGCCGCCGGCCGCTACGGCCACGTCATGTTCGCCAGCGGAATCCATCGTCCCGCAGCAGAGTTGTCCTCGACCCTCCTCAAGGGCATGCAAAACCCGCGACTCACCCGCGTCTTCTTCTCCGACAACGGCAGCACGGGCATCGAAGTCGCTCTCAAGATGGGCCTCCGGGCGGCCAAGCTCCGATATGGATGGTCAGCTGAAGAAAAGCTCGGTGTCGTTGGCCTCAAGGGCTCGTACCACGGCGATACCATTGGCGCCATGGACTGTTCGGAGCCCAGTGGGTACAACGAAAAGGTCGAGTGGTATGACGGCAAGGGGCATTGGTTCGACTATCCGACTGTGTTGTGCGTTGACGGCAAGTGGCGTGTGAATGTGCCTCGGGAGCTGAGAGAGGCTCTGGGCGAGGATGCGGATTTCGGGTCGCTGTCGGACATTTTTGACGTTCAGGGGAGGGAGCAGAAGGGCCATCACGTTCGCTATGAGGCCTTTATCCGCGAGACGCTGGAGAGACTGCAGAAGCAGGGCCGCAGGTTTGGCTCCGTCATTGTCGAACCGGTCGTTCTCGGTGCCGGAGGCATGGCGTTGGTGTGAGTACTCCTCTGCCAGTGTAACAAGATGTTAAAAACCGTCACTAACATGCTCTCCAGGGACCCCCTCTTCCAGCGCGCCCTCGTCAATGTCGTGCGCAAATCGCCAGACCTCTTCCGCAAGCCAAACACGTCTTTCGAGTCTCCCAGCAGTCCCACCGCATGGACCGGTCTCCCCATCATCTTTGACGAAGTCTTCACGGGTCTCTACCGTCTCGGCCGCTTCTCGTCGTCTTCTTTCCTCGAGACACATGCCGACATTTCTGTCCATGCGAAGCTTTTGACAGGGGGGCTTGTCCCGCTCTGCACGACGCTGGCTTCGGAGAACATCTTCCAGACGTTTAGCTCTCAGGACAAGACGGACGCGCTGCTGCATGGGCACAGCTACACAGCTCATCCCGTGGGCTGCCAGGTCGCTCTGGAGTCAGTCAAGGAGATGCTAAAGATGGACCACGGCGGATCCTGGAACTGGGCCAAGTCGCAAGGCTGGACAACGACCTCTGGCGATTCTGTAGCCAGTGAACAGCCTGCAGCTGACGTCTGGTCAACCTGGCCTCGAGATCTAGTAGAAGATCTCTCTCGTCAAACCGATCGCGTCGCGGGGATCTGGGCGCTGGGCAGCGTTCTCGCCATCCACTTGAAGGACGCTTCAGGCACGGGATACTTTAGCGATGCGGCGCAGAGTGTCCGGGATGGGCTTATCGCGGGCGATGCGGAGGGCGTCAACGGGCCGTGGAATGTGCATTGCCGGGTCCTTGGCAATGTGCTGTATCTGATGGCGGGACAGAAGACGACGGAGGAGAGCGTTGCGCGGATCGGCTCGTTGCTGCGGGAGAGGTTGAAGGAGTGACGTTTGGTGGAGTGTGTTCAGATTGAGGTGGCTGGTTTTACTGTCAAAGAAGAAAGCACAGGAGAACAAGAGCTGAGATGATGAACTAGGCATTGATAGTATTACTCTCCAAGTTCATTCAAAGCGCCGTTGTTCCTTTACTGTTGATGATTCTAGCAGTTTTGATCTGCCATTCTGCTCCAGCTGTTCTGAAGTCCGAGTCAATGTTGAACCTGTACGAAGATGTTCTCCCCTCTGTTCACCATCTTTCGCCTCTTGGGGGCATGGTCTTGAAAAACTTCAATGTTCACTACACATCAATGCAACAAGCACTTCTTTGTCCCTCAAGCCGTGGTCGCCTCAACTTCCAGAAACGACGCCTCACAATGTTGCTTTCAAAGGGTACGCCTACCTATTCAAAGACTGTCCACGTCTTGAATCTTCACAATAGAAGTGACAGCAAAAATTGAAAACTTGCCAATGATCTGTTGTCCAGCAGTTCAGAGCAATTCACTTGGGCGAATCGACAGGCTGTTCAACGAGAACACGTCGACTGGGCACAACCTGCCAGGTGGCAGCCGGCCAAGGATCGAGCTCACCTTTTCTCTTGATAAGAAGTTGCAGCTGTCCACCTCAATTTCTGATTTTCCTCAACACCTTCTCTCAATTCAATCCCTCTACATCTTCAACCATCCACAGCGAGCTTGGCAGCAGACCAAAAAGCAGCAGCAACAGCAGCAGCAGCAGCAGCAGCAACGTCAAGAGTAAGTAACTCTTCCCCCTTTGGAACTCATCATGGGCCCTCCAGAAGCACATGCCCCGAAATCCCCCCAAGGCATCACAGGGTACGAGAAGCCATCATTTCTCAGCTGTTGTGTCGAGCTTCAGGGGAGTGGCAGATCCTCGCCGTCCTTCGTCCCATGCAGTCTGAAGCGCCTGTCTCGAGACGAAACTCTCAAGTCGCTGTTGGTCGAGGGGCCCAACTGTCCCCGTACAAATGCTTCACGATCATTGTCCAGGATAGCAATATACATAGACACAAACAGAAGCTGACCTACCCGTCAAACCAACAGAGATTTAGAACCACAGACATGGTACCCCACTACTTGCTGCGAAAATTTGCCGCCGAATGCGTCAGAGATGCACAACGGCGAGAGAGGTTGTATGTGAACATTGAAACCTGCTGCAGTCTGGGGACAGATGGCTGACTCAAAAGTACATGTAGGCGCCACCAAGCTCTGGCCCAGGCAGCCGGCGAAAGCCTCCCCGCAGATGTGGCCAGCTCGTCTTCCAGAGCAAAGCCTACAAGCGTCGGGAAGGAGAAGAAGAAGTCATCGGGTGATGGTGACGTCCGCGAAGCCTCTTCCGCGCGGGGGTTGGTGGCTCGAAGCCTCAAGGGTACACACATGCCCCCTCCCCCGGACTGGCAGCCGGACAGTGGGGACGAAGAAGCTGACGATGATGATGAAGAAGAAGAAGATCCGTTTGCCGACATCTTCGAGAGTAACCCCGTCGACGAAGAAGATCCGTTTGCCGACATCTTCGAGAGTAACCTCGACGACGACGATGCTGGGGTGCGAGAGCTCAAAGACGCCATGGAGTATTTGCGTCGTGTCCTGACCGCCACGCGAGCCCGAGACGCCGCCGCCCTCCATGAAGACGCAGGCCACAATGCCAATGACGACATGAGCGTCCCAGCCAAAGACTGTGTTGTGGATGAAGAGGACGACTTTCTCCTGATCGATGTCGGCGACGGCGACGATGAGGAGATTCAAGAATTGAGAGAAGCATGCGATGATCTGCTCAATGAGCTAGACTATATCACGTTTCCGCCTGTCGATGCCCGGGACTCTTTCCGAGATGGAGAAGTGGAAGTCATGTACCTCGACGACAACGACTCTGCTGTCAACGGCACCGGCGCGGCGTCCTCATCCGCCCGTGCCCGATCGAACAAGAGGAGACGTGAGGTTGCCCAGGCATGTGGAGATCTTTTCAAGAACGTGAGTCGGCGTCTCCACCGTCTGAAGAACGGCTCCTAGACTCGGCAAGGGGGAGGGGCAGCATAGGGGATGATGCCGTCTGTTTTTGTCAAGGGCTTTGTGGTCTGTAGGATTTTGGAATCGGTTGTTGGGATGCGCGATGAGTCTAGTGTCACGGATGTTTTCTGTTTGTTTGTTTGTTTGTTTTCTTGAGGAGTGAATTGACTATTACGTTGAGCACATTGTGTGAAGATGCAAATTCTGACTCGTGAGGAAGTGGATGTGTGGTTGCATAGGACTTCTTGCAGCATTGCCACCGCTCCGTACGCTGTGCGGCCATTGAAGACATCAGATCAACTAAACAGCCAGCTAAACACTCGGCAGACTCTTGCTTGGGCTTTCGTAGACAGATGTAACAAGAATACGCCTTATGTTCCATACATCCTAGCTATTCTTTGTCATGGGAGAGTTGCAAGCCATGCCAACACGGGTCAGGATACGAGTTCTCCAGAACCGGATATACAGTAGCTTCATAATCTTTCCAGACTTGTTCTAAACCACAGGGCTACAAAGTCTCCATCAACTCAGAGTTTGCTGCCCTCTACCAGCAAAAGACCCAAGGTACTGTAAGCCAGCGGCGCCGAGGTGCGGTCAGACGCAGCCAATCAGTCGCAACCCATATCCAATGCCTCATTCCCGCCCTCCCTTACCGAAAGTCCCCCATCTTGTTGCTCTCCATCAGGAGAATCCACCCGCAACGGACCCCCCCGCGAGGGACCAGCACAAGGATACACAGACCAACCTGCAAATAGAATAACCAAACACAAGACAGGATCTAATTCATACCTACCAAGCATCAACAGCCTCAGCCCAGCATCTTTTGCCGAAGCTGATGCCGCAGCCCGTGTCCCTCGGCGCCTCGGAGCGACGCTGGCCCCAGCTTTTTGCCCCTCCCCCATGTCCGGCAGTTGGGGCTAAAATACGGCGGTTTGCTAATACTGATACTATCAGAAGCTTGTGCCTGTGTCTTCTGGTGACGAAAACTCCAGGTACTACTCGTATGTAATAAGAGGGCCAGGAGGAGATTCCATGGCCTTGGAGGCGCGGAAGCTAGAAGCCGCTCCCTGCTACCGACTGACCCTTGGCGTCTGGGGGCGACGATTGCGGGGTTGGAGGCTAGGAGGATCAATCATGATGGGGTTGGCAGTTTGATGGAGGGGGAATGCAATGAGGATGGTTAATAACATAGTATGTATGTAGGTAGGGTAGTTGTATATATAGATGGGTGATTTGTCTGCTTGTTGGTGTGGTGATGTTGCAGTCTGGTAGCAAGCGGAGTCCGAGTTGCATTTGGCCAGTCCGGTCTTACTCTTTCTGCCTTGTGTTATTAGTATCCTTGACTTCTTCCCTTCTTCCCGTCCTCCGTCCAAAGCTTGTTCTCCATCGGATCATCACGAGTCCATCCTCAGCATAATAAAGACGGGCCGCCAAATTTCGGTGGTCAGCGGCGTCGACGGCCGGAAAAAGAGGAGAACTGGGGCTAGTCAGCATCTCCAAATCTGCCTCTGCATCTGAAATCGCATAGTATCGAATCCTCGTTGAAGATTCAGTTTCTTTTCTCTCTTTTTTTTTTCTTCTTTTCCCTCTTCTCTTCTCCAGCATCGTCTGCTCGCCCATTCTTTACATGCTCGGCGGCCAAACCACCAGCAGCGGTCAATGGCGCTGATCGAATACGTCTGGTCGCCGTGGGCGATTGTCGCCCTTGCTGGCGCTCTCCTTGCCTCGTATCTCTACCAGTACTTGGTCACCTACGGCTCGCTGCGGCGCTTCCCTGCTCCCTTTCCCGCGCAGTTCTCGAACCTGTGGCTGCTGTCCGTCTGCCGGCGAGGCAATCGATACGAGACGGTCGACAAGCTGCACAAGAAGCTGGGCAAGTTTGTGCGCATCCAGCCGAACCACATTTCCGTGGCCGACGACGCGGCCATCAACCTGATCTACGGCCACTCCAATGGCTTTCTCAAGTCGTACGAACAGCCTCTCTTGCCCTTGAATCTTGCCCTTGAAGAAACTTGATATGATGTCCTGTAGATGCTGACCCCGAGCCAGCGAATTCTACGATGCCTTCGTCTCGATCCGCCGCGGCCTCTTCAACACGCGCGACCGCGCAGAGCACACGCGCAAGCGCAAGATGGTCTCGCACACCTTCTCGGCCAAGAACATCACCCAGTTTGAGCCCTACATCCACGCCAACCTCGAGCTCTTCGTCAAGCAGCTGGACCGCCTCGTCGACACCAGCCCCCACGCGGACGAAACGGGCCGCAAGGAGGCGCGCTTCGACTGCCTGCCCTGGTTCAACTACCTCGCCTTCGATGTCATTGGCGACCTCGCGTTCGGCGCCCCCTTTGGCATGCTCGAGAAGGGCGTCGACCTCGCCGAGGTGCGCGACGCCCCCGACAGCCCGCCCATCTACGCGCCGGCCATTGAGATTCTCAACCGCCGCGGCGAAGTGAGCGCCACGCTGGGCTGCTTCCCTGCGCTGAAGCCGTACGCCAAGTATCTGCCGGATCCCTTCTACAGCAACGGCCTGGCCGCCGTGCAGAACCTGGCCGGAATCGCCATTGCCTGCGTGAAGCGGCGGATCGACAACCCGCCCGAGATTGAGCGCAAGGATCTCCTCGCCCGGCTGATGGAGGGCCGTGACGAAAAGGGCCAGCCGCTGGGACGAGAGGAGCTGACGGCAGAGGCCCTGACGCAGCTCATTGCGGGCAGCGACACCACGTCCAACTCGTCCTGCGCGCTCCTCAACTACGTTGCCCGCACGCCCGGCGTCCTCGACAAGATGCAGGCCGAGCTTGACGCCGCCATCCCCAAGGAGGTCGACGTCCCGACATACGACATGGTGCGCGACCTGCCCTATCTCGCCGCCGTCATCAACGAGACCCTCCGCCACCACTCGACCTCGGGCATCGGCCTCCCGCGCCAGATCCCGCCCGACTCCCCCGGCGTCACCATCTGCGGCGAGTTCTTCACGGCCGGCACCGTCCTCAGCGTGCCCACCTACACGATCCACCACTCGACCGACATCTGGGGCCCGGACGCCGAGGAGTTCAAGCCCGAGCGGTGGCTCAGCGTGACGCAGCGGCAAAAGGACGCCTTTATCCCGTTCAGCCACGGGCCGAGGGCCTGCGTGGGCCGCAACGTGGCCGAGATGGAGATGAAGCTGATTGCGGCGACGTGGGCGAGGCGGTATGGCGCAAAGGTCCTGCAGGGGCCGATGCTGACGAGGGAGGGCTTTTTGAGGAAGCCGTTGGGCTTGGACATTGCCTTGTACAAGAGGTGATGTATGTACATGTAGATGGGACGAAGTTGGAGGTGCTGGCAGATGTACGAACTGAATGACTAGGTATATGGAGCAACGCCACATAGGTACTCTGTATGTGAAGCTGTATATGAAGCTGTATAAAAATGCAAAACCAACTCTTTTATCTCTAAAAGCACTTTGATTCACGATGGATGCCCCGTGTTAATTGTTGACTCGAGAGCCGTTGTTCAACATGCATCGTCTGCCTTTCTATTCTCACAACTTCGTTCGATACAGATAATACTCCTGATTGCCGATACTACTCTTGATCTTTGTTTCCTGTTACACCAACAACGTTTCACATAGCTTCAGTAATGTTGTTGTCCACTGGTGAAAAGAAATACTCAAAAGTGACAGCAAGTTCATGTATTACCTTTATATATACCTATTATGCAAAAACAGAGCATCAAACAAGTGGATCCAAGGTCTCACCCAAAGATCCTCAGGTCCTCTGTGGCGCAATTGGCTAGCGCGTCTGACTGTTAATCAGGAGGTTGGAAGTTCGAGCCTTCCCGGAGGAGCTCTCATAGCTTGTTTGCTTTTTGTTCCAATTTCGGTGTTTTTTTTTTTTTTCTTGTTTGTGTGTGTGTGTTCTTTCGACGTTTCTCTTCGCATCTGGCATCAATGGTGCTGTTGATGATGTTGGCGGTCATGAGAGTCAAAGAGGCCAAGAGGCAGCGCGCTTGTTCATGATTGAACTGCCGTGTATTTTCTGAGAGAATATGCGCTTTATTCTATGAGTATGGGGGAGGTATCCGGTAGTTTAAGACGTGAAGATTCAGTCAAACGGCATATCAGCCATGATTGGAGATTCGACCGCCATTGAAGGCGCAGCTGTATAAAAGAGAGTTCTTTGAAATCCTCTATAGAACCTATGTTGCTCTAGATGAGAGTCCCGTGGAAACTATCTGTCTGCAGACGCAACGTCTTGTTATTAGTGCGCTGTAGAGTTGCCGTGTCCAGTCAACAACAACGGTAACCATCAATCTCTATCTAGACGAATACCCACCAAATCCAGATAAACAGAAAATAAATAGATTTCCAATACATCAAAAGTATCTCGACTGTGTAGATCTGGCTTGAAGTTTTATTTCCACTCTTCACCTTATATGCTCCATCAAGCATGAAAATCCCCTGCCTCTGGCACTTTCCAGGGTAAACCAGCACCATCAGTACACTGTCCCTGCCGCAGCTCCATCGTCCCATCTTCAACCATTACCATGAAAACCATCAATGAGGCAATATGCATTTCGGTACATTTGAGAAAGAAACACCAAGATATCGACTCTGCTCTGGCCGAGCCCTCCCTGAAGCACATATCAAATCTACAAGGCATCTTGGCTTACAGGCACAATACTTCAGGCTTACTAACACACATTCGATTGACACGGCTTCACCACTTTTGGCAGAATCTCGTCTCCATCTGCCTCAATATTCATAGCTCCTCAAAAAGCGATTCTCATCAAACAAAAGATCAAGGAAAAGAGCACCTTGGCTGAGTGTCAATAGCCTTTCAATCAAACTACGAAGGCGTTCCTGTATGTATCGAGTCGAGGCACGAGACGCGTTGTTTGTTCTACAGGAAAGGTACGTACCCAGCACACCAACGTCAAGCTCTCTGGCAGCTCCTCCGTCCACCTTCAAGAAACGATTCTCAACACCACAAAACATCAAAAAAGGCAC